ACCCGCAGCCAAAAAAGGGTAGCCATCGCCTAATCTAGACCACGATTTAACCGAAACGTCTTCTTAACCCTTTGAGGATGAATGTCGACTATACTACGACTATACTACGAATATCGTCGAACTATATATGTTAATCCAGAAGATGTAAACATATAATTTAATTACATATTTAACAAAAGATCAGAATATATTGTTCATTTTGATATCATCAAAATCTTTGCTACACATAATCTAGTTCTCCGAAGAAAATATTAATTGATTTCGACCCGCAGTTAAAAAAGGGTAGTCATCGCCTAATCTAGACCACGATTCAACGAAACGTCTTCTTAACCCTTTGAGGATGAATGTCGACTATACTACGAATGTCGACGAACTATGTATGTTAATCCAGAAGATGTAAACATATAATTTAATTATGTATTTAACAAAAGATCAGAATATATTGTTCATTTTGATATCATTAAAATCTTTGTCACATAATCTAGTTCTTCGAAGAAAATATTTTCAAAATGCTCTTCCGCGAAGGGTTAATTGATTTCGATCCGCAGCCAAAAAAGGGAAGCCGTCGCCTAATCCAGACCACGAAGAAGCCGAGCCAACTGTCCAATAACGTCATTGCGCCAAAATCGTGCGCCAGTTGCGATTAACGCGGAAAATTTTATTATATAGACGACGGCCGATAAACGAAATCATACGAAACGTAGAAACTACGGTTCTCACGGTTCGTACGATCATCATCATCCTCGTTTCCTAGTCCGTTCGGAACGATGGCGATCCGCTCGAGCGCCGTGCAACGTCGATCTTGGGCAAGTTTTACGATCCCGATCTACGACGTAATTTTTCCCTGATAAACCTAGTTCTCTGCATAGCGAGCGTACGAACGAACGAACGAACGAGCTCGTTCGCTCGCTCGCTCGCATAAAAACCGAAGCCGTTTGGAAGATCGGAACGGGTACGAACGGGTTCCTCGCTGTCGGAGAAAGATCGGTTGGAAAGCGGATCGGACAATTAAGTATTCCCCGGGACAAAAAGGGTATCAAGGTTACCCATAAGTCATTTAAGGTACTGCGAAACCTCGGCGAGCCGATTTCCCCCAACTTTCGGGCGGACTGTCGAGGGAAGACGGATGTAAAGCAGTCAGGACGAAGACAGGGGGGACGCGAGACCTGAATGCAGCTGACTTATTGCACGGTCCGAGCCTCTTTATAAGTCGATCTCGGTGTTACGACCTACATATCGTTCGCTTTTTCCGGATCGAAGAATCAGCCGTGCTCGGGGCAAACGAGGGTAACCGTGGTTTCGGTACAAACTAGACTTTAGACGATGCTACTCGAGATCGGAGACTTTTACTTTCCTCGGGCTCGCGCACGATCTTATCGTTAGAGAAGCAATTTTATAGGTACCGTAATTTCTCTCCCTAATTCGCGCTCAGATTGCGCACGAGAATGGACAATTCGGGAAGAGGAGACGCGATTATTCGAGGCGCAAGCCTCGTTTTTATTGTTGTCGACAATCGGCAACTATAAAAACTAAATAAATAATAATAAAATTAAAAAGTAAATAACTAAAAAATTAATCGTATCTTCTCCTCCCAAATTGTCCAGTTTCGAGCGCAACCGGAGCGCGAATTAGGGAGAAATTACTGTACACAGCGTTCTTTGTTCGTGTAATTTTTGTGTAACGTGTCATTTTTGTGCAACGTATAATTTTTGTGTAACATATAATTTTTATGTAACGTATAATTTCTGTGCAACGAACAACTTTTGTATAACGTGCAATTATTTGTATAATTGTTGTATAATCTTTTTTACATTTTTGATACACTAAAAACGATCTGGAGCCCGTGTATACGTAAACAAACAAGTAAATAAATAAAACTCGAAGGAATCAATAACGTTCTCCTTTATGTTCGAGAATTATCGGATCTCTGATAATCCTGTTTGAAACTTTGGTACGCTGGATAGACAGTCGCACCTAGTAGACTCAGGAAACTTCGGTTGATGTAGCACCTTGTGGGTGCTGGCAAACTTCGCTCCGCTAGACAGACTATTATAGCACCTTGTATATCCTAACGAAGTTTCATTAATCATTGTGTTAACAACCAAACGTGTAATCAGTTTTAAATAATAAAGAAACGTCTATGGAATTGAAGAAAACAGTTGGCTACCATGTGGGTCGATAAATTCCGACGAAAATTAATTATCTGATAAAAAGATGTTCCGTGTGCGACAATCGCTTTGCGAAGGTGAAACTGTTGAAGCGGCAACGCAATGGAGAAACGATTATTATCTAATAGGATAGTGGAGCCCAGTTACAGTAGAGTGACCAATTGCTGTGCCTTTGGTTTGTTATATTCATCGAATTATTATATTAATTGCCATATTAAAATAAAATAAATATTGAAATAAATATTAAAATAAAATAGATATTGAAATAAATATTAAAATAAAATAAATATCAAAATAAAATAAATATTGAAATAAATATTAAAATAAAATAAATATTGAAATAAATATTAAAATAAAATAAATATTGAAATAAATATTAAATATTAAAATAAAATAAATATTGAAATAAATATTAAATATTAAAATAAAATAAATATTGAAATAAATATTAAATATTAAAATAAAATAAATATTGAAATAAATATTAAATATTAAAATAAAATAAATATTGAAATAAATATTAAATATTAAAATAAAATAAATATTGAAATAAATATTAAATATTAAAATAAAATAAATATTGAAATAAATATTAAATATTAAAATAAAATAAATATTGAAATAAATATTAAATATTAAAATAAAATAAATATTGAAATAAATATTAAATATTAAAATAAAATAAATATTGAAATAAATATTAAATATTAAAATAAAATAAATATTGAAATAAATATTAAATATTAAAATAAAATAAATATTGAAATAAATATTAAATATTAAAATAAAATAAATATTGAAATAAATATTAAATATTAAAATAAAATAAATATTGAAATAAATATTAAATATTAAAATAAAATAAATATTAGTTTGTCGAATTATCGTATTAAAATTTATATTCTTTTATTCTGTTTATTTTTGACAAAAGAAATTGAAGACGTCTCGCTCGATGAATAGAAAGTTAATTATGCTCGAAAAGAAACCAAAGGCACAATAACTGACACCGCTACTCTATTAGTAACAGCATTATCCGGGCGAGAAGTGTTCGCAAGAAACGCAGGAACAGTCCGATAGGATTGTCTTAATCGGATAAAGATACCTCGGACGGATCGAGCCATGTCGCGTTCGACATCGCATTACAGTATTAGTGTGTTACACTTATTCTGCCAAGACGATCGCGTCGAACGGTGCTCGGCTGATTAACGTGGCGTGAAACGCGTCGACGTTGGCTCCTCGACGATCACGGGATCAGTGTTTTCAGAGCAAGCCCCATTCTCCCGGGGAATCGGAGCCGCGAGATCTCTCGATCGCGGGTCCCCGATCTGCTTAAAATGATAATGAGGCAACGGTCACGCCGGAAAATATTGTTTTACGGGGTGCTTGTGGCCATTCGCGCGAGACCCGGCCCGGCCAGCACCGAGGATCGCGCGCGTTTTCTCGATCGCTCCGACCCGGGACGATCGAATTCGGAACGAGATCGTCGACGAGGTTTCATTGTCCCCGAGTCGATTTCAGGACGTCACGACTTGCCTCGATGATAGCTGAACTGGTTTGTCGGGGACGTGTGCTCGCAGTCCTCCGCGCATAAGCGACCGTTTAGGCTCCACGAAGTGTCGTTTATGTTCGGCATTCGTTCCTGAATCGCTATCGCGCTTTAAGAGCGCCGTGAGCCGAGATCGAAACGCGTTCGATCTTCTCGGTTACATTATTTTAATCGCGGGAATGCCGTTCGCCCATCGAAACGATACGCTTTCCGTGAAAAAGAAAAAGAAACTGCACGGCGAACGATGTTTCCGTGCCGTGTTCACTGTTTTCCGTGCGCTTTACGCTTGCTTTTTTAATTGAACGTTCTCCGCAGAAACTGGAAAAGAAACACCGCAATTGGAACAACGTGACCAGATCATTTTGTATTCTTTTGTTCGTTTCATTTGTTCTCGATGACACGAGAGAACGTCGATGTAAAACATTGTTCGGTCCAAAGGGACAAATACTGTAATAAAAAGAACATCGTTCTCGCTATGTCAAGATCATCGATGTATTGTTACATTCAAAGTGTCGCATCAACGTCGCGTAATTGCAAAACAATATTTTACTGTGACATCGTTTGACAGTATTAAGAACAAGCGAACTATTCGAAATGGACTAGTGACAGTAATGTCTCCCTAATTGTCGCCCAAATTGTGCACAAAAGTGGACAATTTGGGAAGAGGAGATACGATTTTTCGGCCCAAAGGGATAAATATTGTAATAAAAAGAACATCGTTCTCGCTATGTCAAGATCACCGATATATTGTTATATTCAAAGTGTCGCATCAACATCGCATCGTTGCAAAACAATATTTTACTGTGACATCATTTGACATTTGACAGTGTCAAGAACAAGCGAACTATTCGAAATGGTCTCACTAGACCACTACAGTAATGCCTCCCTAATTGTCGCCCAAATTGTGCACAAAAGTCGCCAATTTGGAAAGAGGAGATACGATTGTTCGAGCCTTGCGGCTCGTTTTTATAATTCTTGACAATCGGTGACTATAAAAACTAACTGCAAGGCTCGAATAATCGTATCTCCTCTTTCGAAATTGTCCACTTTTGTGCACAATCCGACCGCCAATTAGGAAGACTTTGCTGTATCTCGTTCACCCTGTACAAATGTGAAGACAATAGACTATAAGGCGCAGATTTTTGCGCAACCGAAACTCGAACGAACAGATTCCCCCGAGACCGGTCGTTGCACGATCTCTATCGAAAAGTGTGCCGTTTTACGGAACGTTTCGCGGCGGCGTCAAGGAGAGGAGGGTTCTCTGACACGAAGTTTTCTGATTTCAGGGATCAGGATGCGGTGGATCGGTTACGTGGCCACAATCCTCTGGTGGTCGGGCATCGCCAGGTCCCTCAGCACGCTGAATCGAGGTCACAGTCAGTAATGCTCGTTTTGGTGGCCGAGGCGCGAGTATTTCAGTAGCGAGGCGCGCGTTCTTTCATCGCGCGTGTCCCCGGATCGGTCTCCTCGGGGACATTCTCCGGGTTCCCGTCGTTGATCCCGGCTGACCCTAGATGGATCTAGACACGGCGGCGGCCGGGAAATCAAACAATCTTCGCCGTCCCGAGGCGAATTTAATACGCGGATCCGGCGATCCGCGCCGGCCGACCGGCCGGCCGGACGGCTGCAGGAAGCCGCGGGGCCGTTTATTATTTTCCAATCGGTTTGCGAGAGCGCACCGGGCCGCGGGCGATCGATCCCAATCGAATCTCGCGCGCGGCTCACCGTCGAAAAGATGATTAACATTCAATGACCGGAGCGAACCAGGCCGCGCCGCGCCGCGCAGCGCAGCGCCGGTCTAATCGTCGAATAATGATCGCCGATAACGCTATCGGCTTCCCGTTACTCGATCGCGAAGAAACGACGAATTATTCGAAATCATTGCTTCCGAGCGGCGCTTATTTATCGCGCGAAATAACAGTTATTTGACGGTCCGGGGCCCGCTCGCGGATAATTATTTATCTGCCCCGCGAAAGAGCTTTCTTCTTCTGCGCCTCGTTCTCCGGTCACGTCTTTGTTCGACTGAGAACGCGACCGGTTTTCTCGCGGCGAGTTAGGGGCGTACACTCTCCTCTCTCTCTTTTCTCTCTCTTTTCTCTCTCTCTCTCTCTCTCTCTCTCTCTCTCTCTCTCTCTCTCCGTTTCCTCCATTTTTCAGGAGCTTCCCCGCGATTTCATTCCGAAGGAATAATCCCGAGGAATGTTTTCCATTGAATTTTCGCACGCACCGGCTCGCGTCGTTTCGCTGATCCCAGCATAATTCCGCGATACCAGCCGTCCGAGAATTTATTCCGCGTTTAAAGCCGCTAAGTGCCGCGCCGGAACTCCACCTGTGCGCTACGGATAGCGCTACTCCCGAGCCGCGAAATTTATATCTTGTTTACGGTACCGATCCCAGTCGAAATGGATTTGAAATACTCGCCTTTCAGCCACCTATCCGGCGATGTTTTCATCTAACTGTAACGCGGTTTCGAGCAGTTTTCATACGCGCTAACTGTACCCGCGGAGAGAGAGAGAGCCTAATGAATGCGGCGCTGTCGTAAATATTTAGACACTGCGCCGCGGCTATCTTATCGGGCGGGTTTCCTTTTTTCCTTTTCTCTTCTTTTCTTTTCCTCTCTTTCGTCGATGGAGCTCTGCGAATTTTTTCGATCGTACACCCCCGGCCGTAAGTTCCCCCACCCCCGGCACACTTGTCCGCGAACACCGTCCAAGAATCATCTTTTACGAGCGCAGTTTATTTCACGGATTTATCGTGTTGCCTTACAAATTTAATGTCGTTCGCGGCGATTACGAGCAACGTTTAGTATCGAAACGTTGTTGCTTGAATTGCATGAGCGCGCATCGGCGGCAAAGATGTGTATATTAATGATATGAAGCGATCAAAGCTTTAGACAGCGTTATCTTCGCGGCCCGGCCGCGATACACGGCGCGATCTATTTATCATGTTTATTTACCGATAAGTGTTGGACATCTTTATGCGTCTGGACGTCTATTAAACGGTTTAATATCGAGAAACATCGGTCCGTGGGAAAGCTGGCGGAAAGGATAGCGGGAAAGTCACGTGTGACTTCGGTTCTAGTTTACTGCGTCGCCTCGCTAATGCAAGGCAATCGCACGCTCAAGCAATTAAAGCAACATTCTTTGCTGGTAAATATTGCTCTTGATGTACAAATACAACGTCGGGTTTGCAGGACACGCGCGATTAATCGCAAACGCGCGAGCGGAAACTCATCGTTGGGGGTGCACGCGTATAAATTCAGCTCCTTTTGTTCCTCTTGTTCCACGTAAATCTCGAAGAGACCCGTCTCGATGCCAATATTCTCTCCGTCGTACAAACGTTCTCAGCTCGTCAAAATGATCAAAACGTTCCGAAGGAGTTCGAGAACAAACTGGCGAAAGTACACAAAGTTCGCCTCTCCGTCGGCGAGCATAAACTGTCGGCTACCGAGAGCAACTTCGTCAGGCTGACCGACCGTTCGAACGGAAGCAAAAAGCGTCGTCGAACAGAGGGTTCAAAGGAGCCCGGAACCGTGAGAAACCCTTTGCTCCGGGATTAACACGATTTTCCTGCAAAAAAAAAGAGTAACACTCTCTACGTCGCCACGTAGACGACGTCAAGCGGCGGACACACAGAGCGGTCGGCTCCCATCCCCATTGTTCCCCCGAAGAGGTACGAACGTCGGACGCGATAAAGTTTTTCTTTAATTAACGCGGCCGGGCCCCGGGAACGCGATACGAGCATATTTCTAACGGAGAAAGCGAGACCGTGAAGGTAGACACACCGCGAACCGCAAGCAATTTACGTTGCAGTGGCCATACGCGGGACTCGGTTAACGACCTGGCCCAGGTCTACGTACTCGTTCCGCGATTAAGTTTCGTTTTTCTGTTGCCCCTTCCCCCCACCGCCCCACCCCTTTCGCCGTCCTCCCGCCGGCCAGGATTTTTCGTTTTTCCCCCGGGCTACCACGTAGTACGGCACTTTCACCGGGAACACTGGGAGCCGGGTAGATCGGATCTGCGAGCGCTAACGACGTCCCAATTACCGGTCCTGGACCGGAGAATCGTTCGGCGATCCCCTAATTAGCGGATCGACGAAAATCCCGGCTCGATGCTCCGCCAGAACTCCTCGTTTCCAGCCCGGAAACGGTCGAGGTGCCCGCCGACCCTGCTACTACTTCAGATCCTCGAGCCTCGTCCGAAGTGATTAAGACGAATATTGGCTCGCTCGTCCCGATAACTATCGCCATGCGAAACGAAGACCTTCCGAGCGACGAGAGACGGGAGCCCCGGGTATACTCGATCCTGTTCGAATAAAAATTTCAACGAGTCGGAGGATGGTATGGTAGAACTACGGTCGTCGGAACTTCTTTTGTTGCGATGAAATTTTGAGCAATTTATGGATCTTTCGCTGAACTTTTCTGAAATACTGTCGAGTGTTACTTCGGTTATGTGAACGTCTAGGGGTAAAGGGTTCGGTTAAATTCGTTTATACGAACGGAGATAATCAGCGGACTCTTATTGTATGATCTTACTCAGTTGTATATGAATCAGTTATTTCTCATCGAGTTCGTGCAAATGAAGTTCTACCGTAGATATTCTTCGATAGCAGATAGCATGTTCTAAATATGATCAGAAGTATGCTCGAAGATTGCATGCGATTTCTACCATGTCAATTCATTCGGGAACTTCGTATTGGTTTCACGAAAATTAAAAATTTACGCGGATTCTATAAACTGAGTCCATGTCGTTCAAGGAACTTGATCTCGGTTTCTCTAAAATGTAATTAATACTTTTTACGGAGTCAGCACAGCTAAATATTAGAGCAGCAGAGCCGATTATCGTAGAGTGATCAATTACTTTATATTTATATTCGTCGAATACTACTTTATATTTATCAAATACAATTTTATATTTATCGAATACCACATACAGTAATGTCTCCCTAACTGACGCTCAGATTGTGCACAAAAATGGACAATTTTGGAACAGGAGATACGATTATTCGAGCCTTGCGGCTCGTTTTTATAATTCTTGACAATCGGTGACTATAAAAACTAACTGCAACGCTCGAATAATCGTATCTCCTCTTCCCAAATTGTCCACTTTTGTGCACAATCCGAGCGTCAATTCGAGAGATATTACTGTGCTACATTTTCGTATTCTTTTGTCTCGTTTATTTTCGGATAAGATTAAGTCTTTAAGTATTAAGTATTTAGTTTTAACTTAATAACTAAGTAACTTAGTTTTAAGTATTAAGTCTTTCGATTAGAAAATAAACAATTGAAAAGAATACAAAAATGTAATAAGTTTTAGTCGATGAATGCAAAGTAAATTATGCCCGAAAACAAAGCAAAAGCTCGACGATTCAGAAACAAACAGAACGAAAGAATACGAAATATGTCTAAATTCAATGCAAATATAAAGTTAATTACGAAAGGAAATCAAAGACACGGCAATTGGTCACCCCACAGTAACCGGCTCCGCTACCCTAATTGTTGACGAGGATTCGGAAGTGGGTCGCACCTCGGCGAGCCTGAGCAGGAGATAGCAGATTGGAAGTCAGCAGCGAACGATTCCGCGCGAAACAATTTTCCTGTTGCTCGTTGCCCCGAGATCGCAGCCGGGCGTCGTTAAGAATCGATTCTAATCTAGACGTAAATGCTCCCATTAGTCGGCAGGCTTAATTGTATGTTCGCTGGCCTACTTCGGCCGGTGCTCTAGCGGCCACGGGGAACGGCGAAGGGAGAGAACGCGAAAGAAAGAGGGAAAGAGAAAAAGGAAAGAGCGGCATAGAGAGACATAGAGAAAGAGAGAGAGAGAGAGAAAGACCAGGAAAGAGAGGAAGAGAGAGAGAGAGAGAGAGAAACGAGAGATAGAAGGGGAATCAATCAGCCGAGTCCGCGGCCGGCAGCCGCGAGCCGCGAGCAGCATCGCCAGGTGATTTGTGGGACCGTGTGTCGTTCTATTCGCTGCCAGTTAACATTTCGACCCTTAATTCGATCGCCGCGTTTCTTGCGGTAGCCGTGCCGCGATCGTCCCGGAGATCGGCTCCCGTAAATTCCCCCTCCGATGATTTTTACGCTCGTTTACGGTCCGGTTTTTAACACCTTGACCGCGGCGGATGATGTCAGCTGTCGCGCTAACTGTGTCCCGCTGGCTGTCACACTGACCGCTAAACGTCCGCGGATGCTCGTCACCGGCACTTTGAAATATGGGCTTTCGGTGATGGACATGTTTTATGGGACGTGCCGAGCGACATAGTCACTTTTCGCGCGGATTCTGCGGCACGATGTCTCTGTTATCCGCGAACCAGCTGACCGAGCTGTTGAAAATCGACTGATCGCGTCTCTCGGACAGGATGCGGTCCGATTCGATGGCAACGCGTCTCGAAGGTACAGAGAGTTCAACGCGAATGTATTCCTTCCGTCGGTTATATTTAGCAGGTCGATAATAACGTAACGACGTCTTTATTCAATTTTATCGTGACAGCAGTTCAGATACTATTTCCAGTCGGCGACGTTAAGGAGATAATGAGAATCCAATATCCGAAGAGAACGGGCCGAAACAAATTGCCTATAGATAGAGCGCTAAACTAGAAAATAGTAAAAGCCGCAACACCCGGTGGAAAGGGGAATCGATGTAAAAAGAGCGTATGGAGGCCAGGAATGAAAATAATCGTATCATTAACGTTTACCGTCTTCGCGAAACAACAAAAAGACGATCGCAAATCGAAGACTCGGACCGTTTAGAAAGTAGTGAAACCTCCAAACACGCGTATTCGAGCCGACGGGTGATCGTGATCGTTTGCTCCGCAGGTTACAAAATCACCCCGAAGCCCTGCCGAGTGCCAGGCGCTGAGACCAAGGAGGGCACGTGCATGTTCGTCTGGGAGTGCATCAAGTCGGAGGGGACGCACGTGGGCGTGTGCATGGACACGTTCATGTTCGGCAGCTGCTGCGTGCACAACTCGACGACGAACTCGATCACCGCGCCTAATCAACAGCAGCAGCACCATCATCATCATCATCAGCAGCAGCAGCAGCAGCACGCGTCGTCCTCCGATCCTCTGAGGCCAACGCTGGCGGAAGCGTTGGGCAACGAGGCGACCAGGCCAACGTTGACCTCGTTGTCCAGCTTCCTGGTGACGGATTCGACGACCCCGAGGCCCAGTCACCATCAGTCGAGCTACGATCCTCCCGGCGGGACCAGCAGACCCCATAAACCATTGTCGCCCGGCTCCGGGAGGCCGTTGCAGAAGAGGCCGCACGCGAAGCCGACGTCGGACCACAAGGACAGGGTGCAGGTGGTGCCCGGCTCGCCGAACTTCTGGGAGAAGGGCTCCCAGAGCACGAGGCGGCCCGGGTCCACCGATCACTGGGTGAAGGGACCGCAGAGCACCAAGAGGCCGGGTTCTGACTCCTGGGAGAAGGGTCAGACCACCAAGAGACCCGGCTCCACCAGTCCCTGGGAGAAGGAGGCTCAAACTACTAAAAGACCAGGCTCCAATCACTGGGAGAAGGAGGCTCAAACTACTAAAAGACCAGGCTCCAATCACTGGGAGAAGAGTCCTCAGACCACCAAGAGACCCGCGTCCACTAGTCTTTGGGACAAGAACGCTCAGAGCACCAAGAGACCCGCGTCCACTAGTCTTTGGGACAAGAACGCTCAGAGCACCAAGAGACCAGGGTCCACCAGTCTTTGGGACAAGGACACGCAAAGCACCAGGAGACCAGGGTCTACTAGTCTTTGGGATAAAGACGCTCAAAGCACCAAGAGACCAGGATCTACTAGTCTTTGGGATAAAGACGCTCAAAGCACCAAGAGACCCGGGTCCACTAGTCTTTGGGAGAAGGAGACTCAAAGCACCAAGAGACCGACATCGGACACCAAGAGGCCCGGGACGGTCGAGATCTGGGAGAAAGGTCCTCCGAGCACCAAGAGACCCAGCTCTTCTTTCTCTACGTTCGTCCACACCACGAAGAAACCAGCCACTACTGTTTTCTGGGAGGAAACTCAGGGTACCAAGAGACCGGACGTCCAAAGTCCTCAACAGAAGACCAGGCCGGACGATAGCCAGCACACGGCTGTTAAGGAGAAGGAGACTACTCACGACGGGTTCCAGGGCCATCACCAAGGGTTCAAGGACAAGGTGGACACTGGGCACAACACGTTGATCATAAGACTGCCGGGTAAGGAGCACGCGTCCAACGACGACGAAGGTATTAGGCCGAACAGGCCGAGCAACCAAAGACCGATCGAGACGAGGCCGGACGAGGGGAAGACCGAGGACGCCGATCTGACCGTGCAGGAGTCCGTGCATCGGCCGAGCGTCAATTCGGTTGACGAAAACGTAAGAACTCCGCTTCGTCGAGAGGGAAATCGATCGCTTTGATTATGTTTTTAAGGCTGTTCCGTGTCGCAGGAAACCGTCAAGGAGCCTCACTCGAACCTGAACTTCATCCACACCGAGCGGCCGCAATGGGCGACGAAGCCGGTATCGCCGAAACCGACCACGGACTTCTCGAAACCGTACTTCTCGATCAAGACGACCACCTACAGGCCAACGTCGATGAACGACTCAAGGCCGAACTTCGTCTCGAAGCCGACCAACGCCTCGAAGACGCCGCCGACGATCAGGCCGAGCCTAGCCAGCAGCCAGTTTACCACCAGGTATTCGACTATGTCCTTATGTTTCATTCGTCATCGTAGCTCGATCCTTTCGTCGAGCAATCGATCGTTTCACGGTGTACTCGAAAGCGACCCTGACGAAGGGTCTTTTTAGCTAGGTCTCGAAGATCCGCCTAGAAGCGTAGAGTGAAGAGACAAGGAATGGAGGCAGTTCCGGGCAACAGCTTCAATCTTTTCTTTCATTCTAGCGCAGCCGGATCCGTGCCACAGACCTCTCACTGGCAGGTGACCACAGAACCGGCGTTCATCACCAAACAAAGGCCGTCGTCGTCCACGAAGCCGTCGGGCTCCTTGGAAACCGCTAAACCGATGCCAGTTAGCTCCCATTTCTGGTCGGAGAACAGCTGGACGCCGCCCAGACCGTCCTTGAAACCGCACTGGACGGACAATCCTAGTCTCCTTCAGAACGGCCCTGAAGCCTTCCCTCCGCGACCCAGTTTCAAGCCCACGGAACCACAGGAAGTATGTCCAGTCAATGACTCGTATCACTTGTCAACGATCCCGCCACGTGAACCCCGTTTAATCCCCGTTTAACCAACCGAAATCTTTACTCGATCCACTGTCAGCTCGATGATTCACGGAGCGTATTAGTCGTAACGATGGGTGATTAAGTGGCTGCAGATGGGACCTGAGAATTTACAGAATTTACAGACGGTCCCAGACAAGGGACATTTATGAAGGCAAAGCGACGCTCTATGATCTTTTTAGCAATTTTAATGCCACGAGAAATTTAGGATACCGAAAATATGCACAGGATAAACGATACTAGCTAGAATCCTAGAATTTGTCGAAATATTCCATTGCCGCGATAATTGACGCGTCGGACAGTCTCGTCTAAAGAACTATTGCAGAGGTTATGTGACACCGTATTATCTTTCTAGTCACTTCGATAGTTCCACAGGTTCTGAATAAATGACTCTAGATATACAATAACTTCTCTCCGTAACGTCTCTTCTCCCCAATTGACGCTCGGATTACAGTAATGTCTCCCTTACTGACGCTCATATTGTCCACTAAAATGGATAACTTGGGAAGAGGAGGTACGATTGTTCGAGCCTTGCGGCTCGTTTTTATAATTGTGAACAATATATAACTATAAAAATAACTTCTCTCCGGAACGTCTCTTCTCCCCAATTGACGCTCGATGGATTACAGTAATGTCTCCCTTACTGACGCTCAGATTGTCCACTAAAATGGATAACTTGGGAAGAGGAGGTACGATTGTTCGAGCCTTGCGGCTCGTTTTTATAATTGTGGACAATATATAACTATAAAAATAACTTCTCTCCGTAACGTCTCTTCTCCCCAATTGACGCTCGGATTACAGTAATGTCTCCCTTACTGACGCTCATATTGTCCACTAAAATGGATAACTTGGGAAGAGGAGGTACGATTGTTCGAGCCTTGCGGCTCGTTTTTATAATTGTGGATAATATATAACTATAAAAATAACTTCTCTCCGTAACGTCTCTTCTCCTCAATTGACGCTCGGATTACAGTAATGTCTCCCTTACTGACGCTCAGATTGTCCTCTAAAATGAATAATTTGGGAAGAGGAGATACGATTGTTCGAGCCTTGCGGCTCGTTTTTATAATTGTGGACAATTTATAACTATAAAAATAAACCGCAAAGCTCGAATAATTGCATCTCCTCTTCCCAAATTGTCCATTTCTGTGGACAATCCGAGCGTCAATTAGAGAGACATTACTGTATGCACAAAGATGGACAATTTACGAAGAAAAGGTACGATTATTCGAGTCTTGCGGCTCGTTTTTATAGTTGTTAACAATCAGAAACTATAAAAACGAGCTGCAAGGCTCGAACAATCGTGTCTCCTCTTCCCAAATCGTCCATTTTTGTGCACAATCCGAGCACGAATTAGGGAGAATTTACTGTAATCCGAGCGTCAATTAGGGAGACTTTTTTTATTGTAGTCTTCAAAATTAGAATATCCGTTTGCCTCGATCATTGTCGCTAGACGGTCCCACTTGAAGAGCAATTTCAGAAAAGTGGTGTACCATCCTTGAAGTAGCTTCAATTCCACCATAAGCATCGAACAGCGAATACATCTGCAGGATAAACGATTCCAAGTGGTATCCAGGAATTTCTCGAAATATCTGCTCGCCTCGACGATTGTCGCGAGACAGTCCCATCTGGGGAATCAATTGCGAAGGGCCAACGCCTCCGGCGATGTAAAAACATCGAAGAGCAATAGTCGACGGCGCAATTTGTCCCGAGAACCGAGCGCCTCGCCGCTCCAAGTATTTTCCGACACGTTCCCCTGCACCCTGTCGTGAATATTCGTAACTGTACAGCGAACAACGCCGGCATCCGCATTATTCGAATAACACACGGTCCCCTGGCTCCGCTATAATTCACGCGGAGCCGGGGGAATATTCGAATTTCAATTCGAACGGACGCTCGATCCGGAACAGCGAGGAATCCGTAATCCTTGGACGGCTCTTAACGCGCGGTTGCCCATCGTCGCAAAAACCATCCTGTTCCTCCCCGTTCGTCCCTCCTCTCTTCTCGTCTGTTCGCCACGCTATCTCTTTCACTCTTTCTCTCTCTCTCTTTAAAACGCTCCGCGAGGTATCTAATCGAAGGATCGATCCTGCGCGCGAGGAACAGCTTTATCGCGTTACATCCTTGATCGGCCGGTGATCCGGCCGGGACGTTATTAGATCCGATCGGTATGTAGAAGGCCCGGCTTGGCGAGTCGAATCGAACCGAGGCGGAATCGAGCGGAATCGGCGCGGAATCGACGCGGTGTCGAGAGGCTCCGGACGATCTCCGTCGGCCGTTTTTGCCGCGGTTACTGTGCATCGCGACAAAGAACGCGGGCCCCGATAAGGCCCGGCCATTCGATTACACAGTCCATTGAGCACCGCGAACCACTACAAAGTAGAGGGAACGGCCGGCGATTTAGAGAATTAATATAAAACCGCCGATACCAACGGCAACCCGAGTTTTATTCGGTTAGAACATCGTGTCCGACGATCGATCTGTCTTTGTTATTATTATTATTTATTAACGAGCTTTATAAGCTCTTTTATAGTGCTGGTTTAGCGTGCGTTGATTGATAGGAAATTTGAGACGCTATACGGATTGAACGTGATCGATATAAAAGAATTTACAGGTTTTACAGAATTTGCAGAATTTACAGATTTTAAAGAATTTACAGATTTTGCAGAATTTACAGAATTTACAAATTTTACAGAATTTGCAGAATTTACAGATCTCATAGAATTTACAGAATTTGCAGAATTTACAGAAATTATTATTTGCGACGCGAAAATATCTGCGACGACATCGTTCATAATTTATACCGTAATTTATATAATATGTACGATTTTCCATTTCTTATACTCGTCTCATAGTTTTTACTATTATTAATAATATTATTATTATTTATTTACGCGCTGTTAGACTCTCTTAAATCGTACAAGCGAAATATACACATAATCCGGAAGAAATGAACATTACATAGTACAAGATTTAATAACAGATGCAATGGGATCAGTTAAATGACTCAGGGTGCTTCCGAAGGAACCATATTTTGCACTGGTTTGCCGTCCCAGTCCCTTAGCGATGCAACTTTGAAAACTCAATGAAGTTCTGTTATAACTAATGCAAAAAAAGTTCCGAGTTTCGCAAGGTTCTAGGTAGAACGTTAAGATTTAACAGCTCAATTTTTCTCTGCTCGCGCGAGTCGGTAGATTCTGCTCCAGCAATCAGACAGAGCAATTCGAAATTCATTTTTATCGTGATATATTCAACAAACTGATTATTACTGGGACTTTTAGAACACGGGAAAGTTACAGTAATATTTCCTATACAAATTATAACTTTCTAGTTTCGATTTCATCAATTAAATAACTTCGATATTATATACATTATTATATATTATTATATATATTATAATATATTATTATATATATATATTATAATATATATTATATTATATTATATTATATTATATTATATTATATTATATTATATTATATTATATTATATTATATTATTATATTATATATATATATGTATTTTTTTTATTATATATATATTATTAGGTTTTGATATTCGGCACTCAGCAGAAACTTGGCGGAACTATCATGGCAAAAGAACAGAATTTTACTCAAGGCCAAATTTCCCTAGATCATCGTCGATGATCACCGTAAAATATCCGCCAAGATATTGTTCAATTCATTGTTGAATTGTTCCGCAGAGCACCGAGTTCCATAAGCCGCTCGGCTCGGCCCACTACATCACGACGTCCCATTTCGAGACGTCCGCCAGGCCGAGACCCACGAAGAAGACCACGACGTCCACGACGACGACGACCTCGACGACTACGACGACCACCACGACCACGACCACGACCACTACGCCGAGACCCGAGACGACCGTTACCAGCGAGCCGACCAAAGCAACCGGATCGGTGCTGACGGTTTCCGCGGCCGACGAGAGCAAAGGCACGCAATGCGGCGTCCCGCCCCTGTTCCCAAGGCCGGAAACCAGGATCGTCGGGGGCAAGGACGCGCCGTTCGGTCGATGGCCTTGGCAGGTGTCCGTCAGACGAACTTCCTTCTTCGGGTTCTCCAGCACGCACCGCTGCGGCGGCGCTGTGCTCAACGAGAACTGGATCGCCACGGCTGGCCACTGCGTTGACGAGTGAGTAGAGATAAGTGACAATTAGAAGACCCTTCGGTATGTGTCGCAGTTCATAATGAAAGAAGAAATTCTGGGTGCTAGAGGCGTTTTTAAACGAGAGTGTCTTCAGAGGTTCGGGCTAAGATGCTGATCTAGCTGCAGGCGGGATTTTTTTGCCGTGGAAGCACGAAAGCTTTCGATGTGGGACTTTTGCGTAGTCTTCGAGCAGTGTTTTGGCAAGGGTCATGAATTTTTAGGAAGGTGAAACATCAACATTGAGATCGGTATGAGCGATCAAAAAAGAGTCTTACGACTTGAAGCAGTAGACTAGTATGCTACATTTTAGCTGGATTCATCATTTTTTTACTCTGAAACTACGAAAGCTTTCGGTGTGGGACTTTCGTGTATTCTTTTAGTTATATTTCAGCAAGGTATATGATTTTTTACAAAGTTGGAACATCAAAATTGAGATCGGTATGAGCGATCAAAGAAGAGTCCTATAGCTTGATGTTGCAATCTAGAGTGCTACATTTTAGCTGGCTTCATGATTTTTTTATTCTGGAATCGCGAAAGCTTTCGATGCGCGACTTCTGTTAACACTTTTAGTTACGTATTAACAAGATACGTGATTTTTTAGAAAGGCGTAACTTAAAAATTGAGATCGGTATGAGCGATCAAAAAAGAGTCTTACGGCTTGAAGCAGTAGACTAGGATGCTACATTTTAGCTGGATTCATCATTTTTTTACTCTGAAACTACGAAAGCTTTCGGTGTGGGACTTTCGTGTATTCTTTTAGTTATATTTCAGCAAGGTATATGATTTTTTACAAAGTTGGAACATCAAAATTGAGATCGGTATGAGCGATCAAAGAAGAGTCCTATAGCTTGATGTTGCAATCTAGAGTGCTACATTTTAGCTGGCTTCATGATTTTTTTATTCTGGAACTACGAGAGCTTTCGATGCGCGACTTCTGTTAACGCTTTTAGTTACGTTTGAACAAGATACGTGATTTTTTAGAAAGGCGTAACTTAAAAACTGAGATCGGTATGAGCGATCAAAGACAAACCTAAGTATCTCGAAATTCTAAAATGCTTCCTTTTTTGCTAGCTTCGTGATCATTTTTACTATCAAACCACGAACGATTTCGTTACGAGACTTCCGCGTGCTCTTCCCTCCGTATTAGACAAATTTGTATTGAAAAGAAGAATCAGGATCGAGTTTGTTACGAGGGATGATAAGGAGTCCTAATCTCCGCGAGGATCGACGTACGCGCGGAAGCGGCGCGAATCCGTTCGCCAGATCAAACATCGGTAATCGCCTAATCAAACGAGCTCGAGTGAGTTATCGTTCAGCGAACCAGTCGGATGGTAGTCGTGAAAAGCTGAATCGAAACCGACCGACTGCACTGGCTCGCTGGAAGTGTTAAGTTCTGCTGTCAGTCGGGACAGAGTCCCTAAATAAGAGCAGACAGACGCACGCGGAATGACTCGATAATAGTTTCCGTCGGCGGCGGAGCACGCGTGAAGCGCAAAAACCGATCCTGTTATCCGTATTACGCTCGGCCTACCCGGGATGTGTCTATTAATTAGCCTGGATGCTGAGCCGATAGCGTATCGTGGCCGCGTATCTCGCTGCGTTTCACCTCCGTAGCGTCGCGTGAACCGCGCAAGACCACGTCAAGCGAGAAACCAAATCAAAGGATCTTTGTGCAAACATTTTTTAAAATTTGTTATACTCTTCTTAGACTTTTTACCGTACGAAATTTCATCGCGAGTTTCTCGTCGATGCCTGAAGCCCACTCAATTTATTCATCGATGCAGAAAATCTGCTGTTCGCTCAATGTATCATCGGTGCATAAAACTTGCAAGTCTACTCGATATTTTTCTTAGGTTCTTTAATAGTTCTCAGGTTATTCCCAATGTCTAATAATGCGGTTCTTACGCAATTATACAAAATTATATAGCGAAAGAGAACGCAAAATCCGTCAGAATTCCAGCAATTTGTCCTTTAATTCGTTTCAAGCCACTCTCAACTTCTTCTATATCAAAATTTTTTAATTAGAAAGAATTGTTATTTATCGCATTATTTCATGAACTTTCCACATTTCTAACTGCAACGCAAAACAATATAAACGCCAGAGGAATTCAAAAATCCTGTTGTACGATTTTGCGATCGATGCAGACAATTTTCAGCTTGCGCAAAAATTGCAGTCCGTTCGTGAACTCATAGTCGAATCCGCCTCGAGTATTCGCTTGTCGGAGCCGGTTTACATGTAGAGAAAACCGAGTTGAAAGCCGCGTGATTATCGCGACTCCCTCGATTATTATGTAATTGCGAGTTGTCAGGGATCAGGAGTCAGAGGGAGCTTGTCGTTGGTCGTGTGTTCCAGCCTGCTGACTTCGCAGATCCGGATCCGCGTCGGTGAATACGACTTCTCGTCGGTCCAGGAACGCCTGCCTTACGTCGAGCGAGGCGTCGCAAAGAAAGTGGTCCATCCGAAGTACAACTTCTTCACGTACGAGTACGATCTAGCCTTGGTGAGACTGGAGAGCTCGTTGACGTTCGCGCCGCACATCTCGCCCATCTGCTTGCCAGCCACCGACGACCTTCTGGTCGGCGAGAACGCGACCGTCACCGGATGGGGACGGCTCAGCGAGGGCGGCACTCTGCCCTCCGTGCTGCAGGAGGTAAATTACCCTCGTAAATTCCCGCCCTCCCGACCACCCGACACAGAATCACCGGCCGAGGAATCTACTCGCGCGTTCCAGCCCGCCAAATCTTGCCACAGGAAATTCGGATTTTAAATTAGCTTTGCCCGCCCGCGCAGCTGAACGGGAACGGAATACCGCGAGCAGAGGCAGTGAAATATTTCGGTGCGCGTTTCTTGTGATCGTAGAATAACTTGGGAAACACACGTTTGAAACGGGGCAAAAGAATTAGATTTTAAATTGCAAAGAAATGTAGTGGTACACCTTGGTCAGGGGTCTAAATTCTCTCTCTGGACAACAAACTGCTGCGGTCTAAATGCATGTTAAAATTAATCTGAGCATATGTAATTTCGCTATGAGGTTCGGTTTTAGATTCTAAAGTAGAAATATTGGAAAGATTCCGAGCAAAAGTGTTGCACGCAATAGTAAACGCTTCGTGGTTTGTTACGAACGAAGTCGTGAGAAACGATCTACAAATGTCATCAGTGAAAACAGAAATTATTACAACATAATTTTGAAATAAAGTACAACGAAAAACTTAGTAAGCGTCCTAATTAACTAGCGGTTAACTTACTGAACGCTAGAAGCCACTAGATTTCACCAGATTTAAAAAAAAAAAATGAACACATAATACAGTAATTTCTCCCTGAAATACCAAATTTCGTGCTAGTGCTACGCCTATGTAATGTATTGCTACGTCGATGTTAAGGGTGGTTTCCAAGTTGCTTTCGAATCGCGTCATGTGGCCTCCGAATTGCCTTCGAATCGTAGCATGTGGCCTCCGAATTGCCTTCGAATCGTGGCAAGTGGCCTCCGAATTGCCTTAGAATCACGGCAAAATATTAGAAATAAAAAAGTTAAGTCACCGTTTTTATTCTAGCATTATTCTAACACTATTCTAGCATTTTGCCGACTAGTCCGAGTTGTACAAAAAGCCGCGAGGCCCAAAGATCGCGACTTATTCTCAGATCTGCGGTTTCAATTTCGTCCTCCGAACATTTCTGGGAGAAATTATTATATTATATTAAATTATCGAAAGGTGTGAACCACTGGGCGATCATCCACTGTTTGCAAATAAATAGAATTAAAGAAAAATTAGCTTTCATCTGTCGTGACGATAGCGGAGGACTGTTCAATGGATGTCAATTGATCGTTGACTATTGTTTCAGGTTTCCGTGCCTATAGTGAGTAACGATAGATGTAAGTCAATGTTCCTGAGAGCTGGTAGACACGAATTCATACCAGACATATTCCTGTGCGCGGGATACGAGACCGGAGGTCAGGACTCTTGTCAGGTAATTCCTCAAAGTCGATAATTTACAGCCTGGTAACAGCGTGGCTGGCATAATAGGCTGGTTATTAGACGTATTTACCCGGAATGCAAATCTCCTGCAGCAATCGTGAGAGACAACTTGTTTCTCCTGTGTCCAATCTTCCTTTTTGAGATGCAAACGTGAGACTCGCTGGCATTCTTGCGTAGAGTAGCTATCGATGAGCAGGATATCGACGATTTATTATAATATTTATCGATCAAAATATGTGCTCTACAAAGAACATTATTTCGATTTGCCTAATTAATTCTTTCTACATTGAAGATATCGGATTTATACATGTTCTAAACGTGTCATAAAATGTTTTGTCAAATTAAATAATTGACAAGCGAGCAGCGATTCTTTTTTATTACTTCAAGCGTAATAATATAACTTCTCACTGGCAGGAAAAAAGTCTCGATCGTGAAACGAGTTACACGAAAGTTAATTCCCCGGTTGATAAAAGTGTCTTTAGTCGAAAATTATGATTCAACATGTTCCGTGCCACGTGTATCATTGATGGTACATGCGTATTTATTTATTTATGCTCTGAAAAGATGTGAAGAAGAAGTAAATTCTCCCTAATTCTCCTTCAGCTTGTAGACAAAAATGGACAATTTGGGTAGAGGAGCCTTGCACCTAATTTTTATAATTGTTGACGATCGACCTCTTTCCAAATTTTTGTTTACAAACTGAAGAAAAATTAGAGAAAATTTACTGTACTTCATAATACGTTCAAGTCTGATGAACACGTTTCCACAAAGAGAATCAGACATCACAAAAATTCGCTATAGAACAAAACGAATAAGCTCATTTAATACAACAATTAATAATTACATACAACATACCAATCTGTAATAAAAAAAAATCATCAAATAACCTGAATAAAAAATCGAGCAAAAACGCTTCGGCACGGAACGTGTTAAAACAATGGACCCCAGATTCGGCACCCTTACCAAATAGAAACGTTCCACAAAAAAGTCTCCGAAAAGGAATTCCAACGATCCTAAAAACGTGGAGAAATCCACGAGGTAGAAGCAGCGTCAGCCACGCTCTTGTTACCTCGATCTATTCCGAGGTGCCGATTGAAAGTACGTTCGTCTGCCAACAGGGAGACTCTGGAGGGCCGCTTCAAGTCCGAGGCAAGGACGGCCGCTACTTCCTGGCCGGAATAATCTCCTGGGGGATCGGTTGCGCGGAGGCGAACCTGCCCGGCGTGTGCACGAGGATCTCGAAGTTCGTCCCGTGGATCCTGAAGAACGTGACCTGACCGATCCCCGATCTTGTCCACTGGAAATCTTGTTCACAGCTCGCCGGGACGGTGGCTGGGAGCCTGAACATCGCGTTTCCTCGACGCTCCGTCGACGGCCGGCTCTCCCTCGGGGGCCCCTCCTCCCTCGGGATCAAACGGGGAGATCAGCTGGATCAGCTGGCGAACACACGGGACACTCGATCCACGACGATAGAAATCGCGGGTCGGCCAGAACGGAGAGAGCCACCGCACCGGCGCCGCGGGAAGAGAGAAACGGAAACATGGATTCACCGGATTTCAACTGCTGAATAAGCCCGTCCTCGTTCTTCGGGGCTTCGAACCGAAGCCGCATAAGGGGCCTTGCATCCCGAAGACTGTCGCCGAGAACGAAGCCAATCAAACGTCTGAGATACTTATGGGACCAGGATAGTCGTCCTTGCTTCTCAAACGCGGGACTGTATTTATATATAAATATATAAATATAGATATATATATAGATATATATAGATATATACATATATATGTTACAGTGAAACACCGAAATCTGGAGAATGTCGACTTTCACCGGTGAATGTCAACATTCACATAGTCGCTCGGTGTATGCCCGAAATATTTGCTAAATACCCTTATTTCTGACCTACACCGGTAAATGTTGACATTCACCATGCACTAATGGTGAATGTTGAACATGTTGGAGATTTATATTTTCTTCTCCGTAATTCAGTCGCTATAAAACGCCACAAGGGTGACGTAACTTTTTCGCCTCTCTTTCTGAAAGGAATGACCAAGAATTTAAAATACACGGTACATTCTACATGAGAAAAGAAAATAATAGTAATAAAAAAATTACTTACTTATGTGATTCAAATCTTATTTATTGCAACAACTTAAACTATTATGACACTTTGAATTGCACAAGAGTCCCTTGCTTTTACAACTGCATTTATTTGTGGGACACTTCCTTTTGCAATGACAGGTTTTGGACCTCCACCAGAGCATATCTGTGATTGTCGACACACACCGGAGAGGGTCCGAATGTACAACAATGTAATGAAATATTCGATCTTTCACCGACGTATTTGGTATCTGTTGACATTCACCGGTGAAAGTCGACATTCTCCAATTTCGGTCACTCACGGTAACGTATATATATATAGATATATATAGATATATACGTATATATATACGTGCATAGAGAGATATAAGTAAGATAATAATATATTTTCTGTCACCCTGTACATGAGCAGAGAGAGAGGAGACAGGGCTCGGCGTCGGAGACGCTGGCTCGATCGCGGTTTTAGTTTGTTTTCTTGGATCGAAGGAGCTGTTTCGACGCCGAGCTCCACATCGCGGTACGATCTCTATGGAAACGTGATTGTCGATCGCTTAGATCCGACTTTCGTTCGTGTGATCTGGTTAGAGAGACGGAGCTGCCGAGATTGATCGATAGGCCGCGGATCTTCGTGCGATTATTCAGATTATTTTCTGCAAGCTTGGATCGAAGGCGCGGTTGATGTACCAACTTGAAAATTGCTTGCGAGGAGAATGCAATAAATTATATTTGAAAAATGTGTGTAAATGTCGCGAATGCGCGAAGATCTGCGGTCTAATCATACGATTAAAGTCTGTTAGAATTTGATGGCGATTTGACAAATTTTGTCGAGCCGTCCGCGAACGTAATCGATCGTTTATCGAACGATAAACACCGCGAATGACTGATAGAGAGTCTGAAAGCTATCAAGCTCGCGATAAGTCCAAAGTATACGGGATCAATCTCCTGAATAAACACGACGGCCATCTTCGATTCGAAAGCTCGAACGGCGACCTATCGTTTCGCAGAATAACAAGAAAAGGTACACGCCGTGAAAAGCCGGAAGCGCGTGCAAAAGTGTTTCCAGAGGGAGCATACCGTGCATTTATTTACCCGTTGTATAGCGAAGCCTGTAAAATGCTAAGTTCTTGCCCATCGCCCGTTAGTAATCGTCAATTTAACACCGGAGACTAATTTAATGACACGTCCGCCTCCCTTCGACTCTCTCCTTTATTTACAACATACGGATTTTTGTACAGACATACATCGTGTACTTAAAGGTAGGTGTGTGCGAAATAGGAATGATCTAATAAATATAAATATATATAATTGTTTATAGATTATATCGATATTTATAAGTATGCCGAATAAACGTATATGTTTATTACTATCCCCGGACTCGTCCCTTGCCTATCGACAGTTGACATCGAACATCTCGTCGTCGTTGGGTCAACATAGACCCGGAGAAACCTTCGTCGAAACGAACACGCGGTGTCCTAGGAGAATCGAGATGCAGTTGCGCGGAAAATATTTTTCGTCGCGTTCGCTTGCCGCGCGAACACTGGAACGAAATCATTGCAATCGCTACGCCAATGGTTATTATTGTTTAACGAACGAGCATTCGGTGCGTGGATGCAGATTTTACCCACGAACGTTATCGCTGAAATAAATGGTGATGGCAAATAGTTCGTGTAACGATCGTTGGAATTGAATAAAACAAGAAATTAATTGGCATGTCAGGATTTAATCTGCGGGTCTACGACGACACGGCAACGAATGATCCGGCAGATTCATCATCGTCGACCTCGCGACCGCTAAAGAATCCGTGAATTCAAAGGATCGTTGACGCGGCCGGCGATTAAGGCCACCGAGGTTTCGGCGTCGACGATGAAGTACAGGAACGGATGAACGGCCGTGAAAAGCGCCGGCCCGGTTGTTCTTTCGAACAACCCGTTACCTGCGAAGACAGAACCCTTAATGGCATCGTTTCATTGTCGGTCGGAACCTCACGATGGCGCACAGTAATCCGAGGCGAAGCGAAGCCGAAGCTCGAAAACGTTTCGGAACTGCTTACGGTTCGTCCGGATTTCGGCCATTGTTACGCTCGCCACGAATTAATGACCACCTCGTGCATCATTGTAATTAAGTGTACCGATAAGTTGCCCGCTGTCATCTTTTCAGAAATTACGATCTTCATTGGAACACTGTGGACAGCAGCTGATAATGTAGCGGAGAACTTGTTGATGCACTTATTTTAATTAACACATTGACCAACGTGAACGCTTTATACGTAACTGCAGTAAATTCTCCCTAATTGACGCTCAGATTGTACACAAATACTTGCTTGTTGACAATCGAAAACTATAAAAACGAGCCGCAAGATCCTGTTCTTAGATTGTCCGTTTTTGTGCACAATCTGAGCGCGAATTAAGGAGATTTACTGTATTTTGAACGATTCTAAATGAAACGAATGCAGCAAATTGCACGATAGAACTTTCGTTCGTTTCCGAATGCAATTCTTGTCGCAATTCATCAATTGTTAAGTCGTCAATTATCACCTTCGAAACATGTTTAAATCGCCGCTGGTATTCAAGGTGTTAATTTAGCTAACACGTTGACTGACATCAAGATTCGATTTCCAAGTTAGGATATCGTGCGTCGACTGTAGATTTTATGCGTTCCCAAAACAAAAACTAATTAGTTAAAATTGAAAACAATGGCAAATATAAAAGATCAAAAGTTTGAAGAACTCATTGAAATCGCGTGCACGCTGCGATCGACGAAAAAGAAATATTGATTTCGCATAAGCATATACAGTCGATGGAACCGAAAGATTCCATGAACGAAGTGAAAAGACGAACAGTCAACTTGTTTCGTATCCTCATCGACCAAGTGCTAATGACGAAGGAGGATCGAGCCAGGAGGAAGAGAGGCCAGAAAATAGCATGAGAGTAACAAAGTAATCGAAGTTCCGGAGCAACGACAGAGGTCGAAGTCATCGGAACGGGAACATTAACGAGGAGCATTCCTCTCGCAGTGATTCAAGAGTTTCCTGGTAAGACTCGCAGATCGGCCGCGCAAGGTCTTTTTATTTATTTCCCCTTGGTGAGTCAGTCGCAGGATATCAGCGATTAAATCCAGCGAACTTTATAACAATACTGAGAACATTCCCGATCGCGGCGTCAATTACAATAAGCAGGAAACGGCTCCACGCGCCGTGCAAACAACGGCTCGAGGAGAATTCGACATTTACCGATCGGGGGAAAAAATCGCTGCCACTTGTGCAATCGCGAATCGGTTCGCATGATCGTGAACGAAAGCGAAATTCGCGGTTATCGTTGCTCGAATTGGCGATATTTGAATGCCGGTGAAATGGTTCTGCGATGCTCAGAATTTACATTGTTTTCAATGGCAATAGGTTGTCGGTCAAATTATTGAAAAAAAGCAATCGACAGTAAAAATTAGTAAATTTTACAGGAATTAGAATCGATGAAAAGTTTCCTTGAATCAAGAGATTATTCGCTGTAAAAGTAAATTAACAATGCTATCGTACCTCGATAATTTATTCTAAAAATCTGCCCTTGTCACGATTGCATAAATAGTCACAGTTCAGTAATAATATTGTTTACGCGACTTCTGCTCTTCCTGGCTTGCCTTTAACACATAATTCTTTGTTAAGACAAGAGCTTTGTAGAACTATGGCCAATTCAATTGTTTGAATAGAATATTCATTAAAAGAAATAAATTATGCGGATCACTGAACTTTTCTTGGATACTTTCAGAATTTATAATAATAATAATGAATTCTAAATAAAATAAAATAAAATAAAATAAGATAAAATAAAATAAAATGAATTCTAAATAAAATAAAATAAGATAAAATAAAATAAATTCTAAATTCTGAACCTCGCATTCAAAAGCCCCCACGCTAATGATAACGTTGCCTAACAAACGCCACGCTATGAAAAGAATTTTTGGGACAACCCAATTTAAACAATAAATTTCAGCATTCGGTTGCAATTTAGTTGAACAAATTGCACGAAAGGCGAGCGAAATTTCTCGAACAGAAGTTGCCCAACACTACCGAGTCGAAAGATCAACCGGAAGTGACAACATCCCCCCCGAAGAATCGATTGGATCGGACACGACCTTCGCCGAGATTTCTAATCCAGCGTGGGTCCTCGAGGAGGGGAACCTCTGACCTTGGTATTCGCTGTTGGAGCGTGGAATTTCGTCGGGAACCACGCGTCAAGCTCCATCCGACGTGACGAACCGTGTTCGCACCGCCATTAACGACGCTAATGAGGAGGCCACGGTGGGGGAACCGCGAGAACGTGACCGAAGAAAAAAAAACGGGGGATGATACGCGCCAGTAGTAATGGACGACCGTCGTCGGACGGAGCTGATGATGCACTATCGCTTCTTTGTCGTTTACGCGCGCCGTGCATAATCGCAATTTCACTCGGCTTGCGTCATATCAATCTGAAAGTTTCGATCGTTTCCCTCCTCTCGGCGGCTCGAATGGCCCGTGAAATCATTTTCCCGCATTTTTTTCTGAAGGGTTCGAGGATTTCCTCGGAGCAAGGTTACCGCGCAACGGTTCGAGGATTCTTTAGAAATTCTCCGCTCGTGAAATTGGCCACCGAAGCTGCTCCTCGATTTTAAATCAGCTACAGAAGTTGTCCCTCGGTTGGAAAAAAATTCGTCTTCAATCTGTTCGCTCGGAAAGTTGTTTCGTTCTTTCACGAGAAAATTGTAAACGATTTTTTAATGTGCAGAATGAGAAGAAACAATCCGTTGACATTTTCCTTGCTTCAACTTTGAAATCTTATGCTCGCAGAAGTCCTGGTTTTTATTGGCGAAATACTGAAACTTAATGCCCTTATAAAAAGTCATTAAAAGGTGGTTTCGTTTCTAAAACAAATTTCCTTTTGCAAGACCATTAAAAAAGCACTAGATTCAGTAATTCGCGAAAATCGTTTCGTTGCTAAAACAAATTTCGTTTTGCAAGCGCATCGAAAAAGCACTTCATTCAATATTTTGCCAATAAAAACAGAACTTCTACGAGCAGAAGATTTCAAAGTTATCAGAAAATGTCAATGAATCCTTTCTTTTTATTCTATTTATTATACATACATCTTCTCTCCGAGGAAATATCTTCGGATACAGAATTTTTACGAAGTGAAATATTGCCCCTCGTTCTCCTGTTTGGAGAAAAAAATTCTTTCCGAGGATACAGCTACGAACATAGAATTTTTATCGAATGAAATGTTACCGTTGGGAGCTCGTTCGAAAAGTATTCCCGTGTAACAGATGTTTCCGAATCCGTACGATAAAAGTTTCATCGACGCGATGCTGTCTAGAACGTTCGGTTCTATAGGAGGATCGTAAACGAGATTTGAAGAAAGAATTTTCGATGCAAATATTACATGGAGAAAATGTCGGGAGAGGCTCGGAGGAGAGGAGAAAGTGCGCTAGTACGTAGAAAGACTAGAGTAGAAACCTGGATGATAGTATCGGTAATAGTCCCGTCGAGGTGGAACGATCAAAGGGGGATCGGAATTGGGCGACTCACGAGAGTGGGTTCGATCTGGCTTCATGTAATTCCTGATGTTCACGCCGATGCTTTGCTGCACGTCCCTCGCGTATACCCCCAGATCTGGGGTCATCGGGGACAGATCAGCGGCCCTTGGCTCGAAAACGTCCACGATTCCTAGCTGTGAATGAAATTCACACTGTTCAATCTCCGGATGATCGATCTGCAACTTCTACCGAACACGATATTTAAAGCGAACGAAATTGATTAATGTGTCGATAAAAGCTGGATAACAGAAATCTGTACTTTCTCGCTAAGATCAAGCACAGAATGAACCGGGTATAAATCGAAGTCATTAACAAAAAATAATCGACGAAGTCCTTGTGTGTTGCATTCAGTGGAATTAATTTTCGAACAAGACCAATCGATTTAGGCTGTGACGGAGACGAAATGTTAAGATCGTTAACAAAGATGAAAACGTGTAATCGTTGATGAGAGAATGTAGCTTCAAATTTTAACAAAAATTTACGTTTCTTCGGTAGAAAATAAATTACGGTTAACAGAAATCTGTACTTTCTCGCTAAGACCAAAACACAGAATGAACCGGGTATAAATCGAAGTCATTAACAAAAAATAATCGACGAAGTCCTTGTGTGTTGCATTCAGTGGAATTAATTTTCGAACAAGACAAATCGATTTAGACTGTGACAGAGACAAAATCTTAAGATCGTTAACAAAGATGAAAACGTGTAAATCGTTGATGAGAATGCAGCTTTAAATTTTAACAAAAATTTACGTTTCTTCGATAGAAAATAAATTCGAGAAAATTGTCCGAGCAGAGAAGATTCGACGTCGGAAAATTAATATTCGTTCCTCGCTTGCAAAGCGTTTCAATAAGGTGAATTCGGGGATCACGGGGGATCGGCAGCACAGCTGCACCATCGAGCTCGAGTCCCGCGAAGCTCAAGCTTGCAGTTTCCCATCAGTATTGTAGCAGAGAAGCAGCGAGGAGCTTCGAAAGTCTCGCGCAAGGCAAAGAACGCTCGTTGGCTCCCGCAGTCGTCCGGCGTGGCTCGTAAAACCGGCGCGAATGGTACCCCTGAATTACGTCGATTAGAACAATTCCCTGCTGCGTTTTTTCTTTCCCTCCGCTCTTGGTCTTTCGCGTTCCCCAGCGAAGCGCGAAGCTTTCAGCGGCCGGCGGCGCGGCGCGCTTCGGAATTATCGTCAATTACGTGTCGTCAAGGAAACCACCTATACCGATATCTTTGTTCGTGGAACGGCAGCCGTGACGAGAAGCGGAAAGTGCACTCAAGATCTCGACTAACGCGATTAAGTAATTAGGAGCTTAATGCCCGAGACTAATGGCGAAATATCGAGCGGCCTGCGCTGGGAAACGGGATTCGACCCGCGCGGAGCTTAGGGGACCTGCCTGCCAGCCGGATCGAACTGATCCAGCCGCCAATAATGCCACCTGGATCCATCGATCCGGGAGAGCGGAGGTGCGGACGGAGGCTCGTACCCTTTCGAGGAAGGACGTCAAGGTGACGAAACCGCGCAACATGAACGATGGAATGGTGGCCCTGACCCAAGTGGCCTGTAACTGCTTCCTCAACAGCCTCAACGACTTCCCGCCGAGGTCCCGAACCAGCCGATACGTGTCCCGACGATCGGTCGACATCACCAGCAGGATGTTGTACCTGGGGTCCTGCGACATCCATGGGAAAATCGTGTCAAGCACATTTGGAACAGCCGACGTGAATTTCTTCCCCGTCTTCGGTTCCCGATGCAAAGATTCCGATTTTACTAATATTAATAATGTATCTCTAATTGACGCACAGATTGTCCACAAAAACGGACAATTTAGGGAGAAGAAAGACGATTATTCGATCCTTGCGGTTCATTTTTCTAGTCCCGAATTGTCAACAACTATAACAACGAGCTGCAAGGCTCGAATAATCGCGTCTCCTCTTCCCAAATTATCCACTTTAGTGGATAATCTGAGCGTCAGTAAGGGAGACATTACTGTACAGAAATGTCTCTCTAATTGACGTCCAGATATTCGAGTCTTTTGGCTCGTTTTTATAGTTATAAATTGTCAACAATTATAAAAACGAGCCGCAAGGCTCGAATAATCGTGTCTCCTCTTCCCAAATTATCCATTTTAATGGATACTCTGAGCGTCAGTAAGGGAGACATTACTGTACAGTAATGTCTCTCTAATTGACACCCAGATATTGGAGTCTTTTGGCTCGTTTTTGTAGTTATAAATTGTCAACAATTATAAAAACGAGCCGCAAGGCTCGAACAATCGTATCTCCTCTTCCCAAATTGTTCATTTTTGTGCACAATCTAAGCGTCAGTTTGGGAGACATTACTGTATCCCGTTTCCTGGAATTCCAAGCTCGGCGTGTTTTCGTAAGATTTTTAGATTTTTGGAAAATTCTGCGTCCTATATAACCCAGTGCAAGCTTACTTCGTGGAACAACTATAAAAATTGAAACTGAAAACCCGAGTTGGATCTAAATCCTAACCTGGAATCTTGCATTTTCTAATTTTTTTATTCTACTTAATTTAATTCTAATTAATTTAATATTCTACTTAATACTACAATTCTACTTAAATGTCTAAACATGGTGCAAGCCTAACTTGGACGTAAATTCTGGAACACCGTCATTGTTACACGGTTGCAAAGAAGAACACCGCGTGTCACACGATTTCACTTTCGATTTATTGTCGCTTTTTTATCTGTCTGAAACCTTTCGAATTTGTTCTCGTGAATTGTTTTCTGGCCAATTGGTAACTCCTGTATTCTACAATTAATACGGAAGCTAAAATTTTTTGAANGAGTCTTTTGGCTCGTTTTTATAGTTATAAATTGTCAACAATTATAAAAACGAGCCGCAAGGCTCGAATAATCGTGTCTCCTCTTCCCAAATTATCCATTTTAATGGATACTCTGAGCGTCAGTAAGGGAGACATTACTGTACAGTAATGTCTCTCTAATTGACACCCAGATATTGGAGTCTTTTGGCTCGTTTTTGTAGTTATAAATTGTCAACAATTATAAAAACGAGCCGCAAGGCTCGAACAATCGTATCTCCTCTTCCCAAATTGTTCATTTTTGTGCACAATCTAAGCGTCAGTTTGGGAGACATTACTGTATCCCGTTTCCTGGAATTCCAAGCTCGGCGTGTTTTCGTAAGATTTTTAGATTTTTGGAAAATTCTGCGTCCTATATAACCCAGTGCAAGCTTACTTCGTGGAACAACTATAAAAATTGAAACTGAAAACCCGAGTTGGATCTAAATCCTAACCTGGAATCTTGCATTTTCTAATTTTTTTATTCTACTTAATTTAATTCTAATTAATTTAATATTCTACTTAATACTACAATTCTACTTAAATGTCTAAACATGGTGCAAGCCTAACTTGGACGTAAATTCTGGAACACCGTCATTGTTACACGGTTGCAAAGAAGAACACCGCGTGTCACACGATTTCACTTTCGATTTATTGTCGCTTTTTTATCTGTCTGAAACCTTTCGAATTTGTTCTCGTGAATTGTTTTCTGGCCAATTGGTAACTCCTGTATTCTACAATTAATACGGAAGCTAAAATTTTTTGAAATTGTGACATGCGGTGGTTTTCCTTGCATCCACAGATACATGCTAACGTATCATTCTCTTTGCTACCGGGATCTCATTTTTTTAAATTGCAAAGCAAGCTTAGACCTAGTCCGATGTTCAGGAGATCTGGAGTCTGACACAGATCGACGAGAATTTTACGAGAAACTCGTTAAAAATGTCTACTTTACACTCGAGACGAGGCATTTCGCACTGATAGCTTTTCGTGGAATAATTATTGTCGGTCTTACGTCCAAAGGAAACTCAAGGGCGACAGCGTGAAGCGACGGAAAATGTGCGAATGGCAGAACAGCGAAGTATCTGGACGCCGTGACGGAGGACACGTCGCAGCCGTTCACCAGAAACGATATTTCCGTCGAGTCTCTGACTGAAGCCTCGCCCAGGCTGATCGTATAAGGATTCCAGATACCCAGATCCTGCATCCAGATTCCCTCGTCTGCAATCCAACGAAATACTATAAGCAAAATCAACAATACTCGCACTATTTACACTTACTTATATCACTATACCGCAAATTTTTCTAGTCAAATAAAAATTGTCCACATCGATTGCAAAAGAAAAAGAGTCAAATAGCTTCGTTAAAGTAACTGAATAATGCCAGAAGAAATTAAATAAAAAAACTTGAAAGTTTCCGAAAGCTGAAAGAGAACTTGGCTAACGAAATACAATAATGTCTCTCTAATTGACGCCCAGATTGACCACAAAAATGGACAATTTGGGAAGAGGAGATACGATTATTCGAGCCTTGCGGTTTATTTTTATAGTTATAAATTGTCCACAATTATAAAAATGAGCCGCAAGGCTCGAATAATCGTATCTTCCCAAATTATCCATTTTAGTGGACAATCTGAGCGTCAGTAAGGGAGACATTATTGTAACTGTTCACCGTCAGCAGAAAGATTCGACTAGGACTGCCACCGGCGCAATTGATTAATAAAATCGATTGACGGACCGCAGATTCTTATCGACGACAAAGATCGTCTGCGCAGATCGCAAGAAACACGAATCGAATGTCCTTTCTCCGTTCGATCGTTTCAGTTGCTCGTAACCCGTTGAGAAACGAAACAAGGAAACGAGAAGCTTTTCTGAAAGCCGAGAGCGATCGCGACCGACGAATTTACCTAGTCATCCTCGGCCAAAAGATCGAAATCGGCCCATCGTGTAATTTGCATCTAATAAAACGACCTACGAAACGGGCTATCGACGTTGAAGACGGAACGTGCAGGGTCGACGCGAGGAACAGAGGTCAGAAACCTCGTTACATTCTCGAAAACTCCGTTATTCAGATCCCGCGTCATTCAGGTCCGCTTGCCGCATCAATCAATCAATCAACTAGAGCAGTGTCTAGAAAGCTAAAAAACTGGTTCGAAACCTGGGTAGCTGGAGAAGAATCCCCTCGGGCTCCTGGCGGCGCGTTTCCTCCTCGTCATCGAGCCGCTAACAGTCGATGCCACGGTAGTAGACCGTCCGTTCGACCCGGTTTCACCTGCAACAGTTGTGGCTGGCAAATCGGTAGATCCCATCTCGTCGGTGACTGTCTGATTATTCATCGAGTCGGTTGAAACGCCATTATCGTCGGCAGGTGGTCCGGTGGCCTCTTGATTGGCTGCGACAGGGATCGTCGAACCGTCTGCAACATTGCCAGCAACCTGTGTCGCTGTAATTGCCGCAGTTGTTGCTGCAGTTGTTGCTGCGGCGGTTGACGCGGTTGTCGTTTCAGAGACAACTGTCGTAGCGACTATGGTCGTGGTCTCTGCTGCCACGGTGGTGCCAGGACTCGCATCCTGGAGGACAGTCGTCTGGCCAAGTGTCGCAGCCTCGGTCGCTGCTTCCGTGGTCTCGGTGGCAACAGGCAGATCAGTGGCAGGACTGATCGAAGTCGTCGTGGTAGCTAAACTCTCTGTCCCTGCGCTTTGAGTAGCAGCCGCGAGCACAGTTGTTGGCGGGGCGGGAACGGTGGTCGGAGAAGATGCATCGGTGGCAGAGGTTATCGTGGTGGCAATCTCTGACACCGTCGTAGACGAGGCGGTAATCTGGCCGGGCAAGGTAGCAGGTTCGGTAGCCTCCATCAAGATCGTAGACCCTAAAGTGGTCTGCGTCAATCTGCTCGACACATCTCCCGTCATCATCGTCATCCCCAGTATCTCGACAGGAGGGGTAGTCGATGCTTCGGTGGTTTCTTGCGTCGGTTGTCGAGTGTCGGTCGCCGTCGCAGTCGTCGCGGTCGCATCGTCCGGAGGCAGAGTTTTAGCTTCCGTGGTCGGTGGATTCGTCGCTGATTCTGGAGTAGCATCGGTTCCGTTCGCCTCCTCTTCGGGGACCGTCAAGTCGAATCCGTAGAACCTCAGGATGTCCTCGTAGTCCGGGCGCAGCCTGGTGTTCTCCTGGTTCAGGGTTAGACCGCCGAGGAACCCGTCGGCGTTCAGATAAGTCTGGAAAACAGCGAAACGATTTAATGCTCGCTATTTCATGGAAAATCGAAGAAAATGGTATTCTTGCTGCTTTCTGAATGTCACGATCGTCGCGGAGCTACGATGAAAATCGTACAGCAGACGATCGACCGCGGTCGAGCTCGAACAGCTCCGGAATCGTCACGGTTCGTCAGATCGAAAACGGTCGAGGATCATTTTTCAGAAAGGTCGATCGACCGAGAGAGAAACCGCCAGTTAGGGAAGAGAAATTGCGCGCGTTCGAGCTGCAAATTAGGTACTCGGACCGCGGCGAATTCTCCGCGTCCCTTCCCGTAGCCCGACCGGTGTCGGGAAGATTGCGCAATGTCCTCGAGATTCCGTAATCCGGCCTGGAATGTTCGACGCTTACCCTTAGCCTGCGATGGATGTCGCGAAAACCGAGCCTGGTGATGTCCGGGTCCCTCGGCAAGCCCAACGCGTCGGAGATCTGCTGCCTTCCTCTGCCAGCCGAACCCTCGTACAACGCTGCCAGGACGAAGCCAACCCCTGCCGGAGAGAATGCCACGTTCCCGTGGACCGTGTACTGCTGGAGAATCCGCACGCCCAGATCGTTAATAACGTCCGTGATGATGTCGACCGGCCTATGCGGAACCGGTTGATACCAGCCGTCGAACCCCACGTTGTCGTAGCCGCGGACCAGCACGGGCAACACTGTTGGAACATTTCAGGAAAGGAATAATCCACGCAGAATGCGGCAGACACGCGGCCATCGGCAAATTACAGCCGCGTCGGTTTCCACGGCGAAACCACGATCAAATTCTAGCCGTCGTTCTCGGACTTTTCTCTTTTAGAAGCGGACGAGGCCGAAATTCGCGATAGCTTTCGGAATGTGCTAGAAATTTTACCGCGAGGGAGAAGGGAGATTCGCGACGTTCTGAGAAATCGTGGAGAATATTTTCTTTTCATTGGTTCATTTCACGGCAAGGATCGGCGTTTTTTGTTATCGCTATTAGTTAGTCGACATTTTAATCGAATTCATCGCGATACGAAAACATTTATGTTTGATGCTCGTGTTCGGCTTTTTATAGAAACTGGCGTAAGGATAAATCGATTCCGTTAACAAAAATATTCTTATCGACAAGATTAAATGGAAATGCTTTTAATTTAATTGTGACCACTTTAATCGTGTTCTAGCATTTTTTAAACACTAGTAAATTCCGCAAACGCGAGCAAATGTGTAAACGAAATACAAATACGATTAGAAGAACGTGAGGATGCCGTCACATAATTCTAAGCTCGCTAAAATTATTGATAGAAGAAATACATCTCCGTTTAACTCCAGTGTCTTACAATTGCCCCGGAGAATGTTCATTTCACGCAGAGATCCGCAGCGTTGTAGCAAGTACTTTTAAGTGATCATCGCCTGCGTTCAAAGCGTTAGACATTTCAGTGTCCTAGAATCATAGACGGCGTAATTGTTGAGATAGTGTAGAATTAAGTTAATTTACAAGTAACTTTACGATCCGTTCCACTTCTCTTTTTAACATCTTGTCCCCTACAGATTACATTTTAAGACGCGGATCGAAATTTTCGACAATGTGACTTGCGCGACTTTAAACCGCTCGTTTAAGAGAAGGCTAACGGTGTCACGGAGCGAGAGTTGCGAGACTACAGCAGGTTCGGTTTGATTTTCTAAGCGTAATTGGAATACGTACGGTGAATCAGAATGGTCCAGGACAGTGTCGTCCCCATGTTAATCGGTGGATCGCGCTGTCAGAGGACCGATGGAGGCATGGAAATCACTTGGATCGTTTCGAACACGGACGGAACTCCGTCGTTTTCCCGACGCTATTAGGATTAGTCCTAGTCGTCCGCGCTCCACGTCGGAACTGGCTCGTGGATGGTGCACGCCGCCAGCTCGAGGCTCAGCCGACCACTCTTGGATTTTTTAAACGGCAAGGTCGTCAGGTAGATAAACCCGTGTCTATGTACGCCGTCATATCGCTCTCGCCCTTCCACTTCCAGCCGATCCAGCGGATCCTCGCCGCGCCGGGGTTACAGGTTCCCTGGAGAACGGGGAGATCCACGGCGAACCGGAGATGAATTATTCAGAGGATCGGCGGGGATTCGTTTGCGAGGAACACGCCGCCCGTTGCAATTTAGTCCTATCCGGCCTGCCTCTGCATTAGGCTGCCTACCTCCGTCGGCCTTATGAATTTTCGGCCGTCCGCAGACAATCGTAAGCCCACGATCTTCCAAGTTATCGGGGGGCTGAGCCTTCGGAGTTATCGGTAGCGTGGGTTTCTTTGACACTGAGCAACGAGGTCGTCGATTAATCCTTCGCTGACTAGGTTCGTTGATTGTCGAGCATGCGATGCAAGTGATGCATTTCTTTTATACAGTGATCGCTCTTTTCTTTTTATATGGTAGTTAATTGTAGACTCGAGGTGGTCTTTATACTTTTAATGATATTTAAGCAAAAGCTTAGTAAAACGTCGCATTTGTATATTTCTGTGTTAGAGATAATAGAAAATAGAGATAAACAAACGTGGTTTTTTATACAGTGATCTTTCTTTTCTTTTTATGCAGTAGTTAATTGTAGACTCGAAGTGGCTTTTATACTTTTAATGATATTTAAACGAAAACTTAATAAAACGTCGTATTCGTATATCTCTGTCTTAGAAATAATAGAAAATGGAGATAAACAAGCGTAGTTAATTGTAGACTCGGAGTGGTCTTTATACTTTTAATGTTATTTAAACGAAAACTTAACGAAACGTCGTATTTGTATATTTCTATATTAGAAATAATAGAAGATATAAATAAACAAGCGTAGTTTTTTCTTGATTTTTAGTTAAATATTATTTATTCACAGCACCGTGGATGACCTCTTTTAACCGAGACACCTTGTATATTTAAAAAGAACTTATCAGAATATCATACATCTATATTAGAATTAATATAGAAATATACAAATATGATATTTCGTTAAGTTTTTGTTCAGATGCCAGTAAGAATGTAAAAGTTATTTTCAGTCTATAATTGTGCACGTCGCTGTATATCTTCAGCAGCCTGGAGAACAATGTTAAATTTCTTATTTGGAGCTAATACAAATTCCGTATTAATTTTATCATGTTCCAATGAAAATAGATATCTTGTTAAATATTGTTTGCAATTGGTGTGTCCAGAACTAGAACGTCGAAAAGTTATGCTTGCGAGACCGACAGACAAATGGTCCGAAGCATCGTAAACCCATCGAAAATTTATCGAAAAGATTGATGTTTGAGAAAAAGAGCGTATTATTAACCCTTTGGGGTGCGATTAAAAACGTCCCATCTTTTTGATGCACAATAATGCATGGTGGGACATTTTTAGCATTCACGAACCTATGTGGCACGATGGGACTATTTGAGTCCCACCCTGTAACAACAAATCGTATTGAATTACTATTATCATTTCATGTTTCTCTATTATGCGATTCCTTTGTCAATAAAAAATCTACCAATTTCGTTCAATTCAAAGCGCAATAAAATTTCTTGTGCAGCACGAGTCTATTTCCTTTTTTGTAAAAACCTGTGCCCCAAAGTGTTAACACGATTCGAGACTCACAATCAGCTGGGCTCACGGCTGGATCTTCGTAATTAATGCAAACCCAGGATCGTCCCGGGATGCAACGCCGACCTTTCTACATTGGCGTTCGCACACATGCAACTCCCATTCTTCTTGAGACTGTGATCTTAATAAAGTACCTAGTTGTGGCAACTTCCACCGTAACGTAACAAGCGGAGTCATACGCGTGTCATAAGCGTTGCTCAATGCTCACGGTCGCTGTTTTCTCGCGTCGGAGGAGATGATCTCCCGGCGAAAATTTTCAATCGACAACAGGATAACGAACACCGGCCGCCAAGCATCTGTCCGAACGCCGAGCCGCCGTTCGATCCTCGTATCGTTCTAATCGACAAACAATGCCGCGCGGACTTTCCTGGTTTCCAAATGAATCCGACCTCGCGATTTTTAGCGGGCAACGCGTAGAGACGGTTAGTCACTGTTGGCGCTCGTCGGGTTCATTGTTAATTAATTCTGCGGTAACCGAGTGTCTCGCCGAGGTCTATCCCCATCCCCGGTGTCTCATCTTCACCGACGCGACCTGCGAACGGACTGACGCTCTTGCATCGCGGCGGAGGATCGCTCGTTGCCGCTGCCCGACGTTGCGTGGATATCCGCGCAATATCCGGTGCCGTCCGCAAATTAGACGTTCGTGATGGTAATTGTAAACGGCCGCAGGTAGGTCCGCGGGGCTATCGGCTGTCTGCCGATCGCCGGGGAATCGTTTCGCGCCTAACCCGCGTCTCCCCGAGCCAATTAACACCGAGAAACGGGCCGGCGCGACGGCCGCGCTTCGTTTCGTTTCGTTTCGTTTCGGTCGTTTTTCTCGGTGCCGTTCACCGGCCCATAATCCCGACAATAATGGATAATGGAGGACGGTTCGAGGGAGTTGAGGACTTTGCGCAACGATTTCGGGGGGCTTCCGGTGACAATGTTTTGCCAACGTGAACGGAACCGCGATAATTGACGGGGAACGGGGACGAAGAGGGGGAGAAGAAATCGCAGCCGGCACGGTGCGCGAGTGGTTTGTTTATTCGCGAGGAGAAATCGCCGTTTATACAGTGAACAGCTGGCGTGAAGAGAGCGAAAGCAATTTGCGTGGCTACACGACGTGTCCTCAGGGGTCTTCGTTTACGAGACGAACGGACGTATCAACTTCCGCTGCTTGGACACCTTGCGACGGTGCCAGTAGAACTCGCAGAACAGAAAGAAGAAGGACATCGTCACGCCTGGAACACGAGACACTCTGTTAAGCCGTGATACAAAAGAAACCGAATAGGACTTTACTCTCAGCAATCGTTCGATGCTGAAGATAGAGCGTAGCTAAGCTCGCGAGAAAAGTATATATGAAATCCTTTCGTCGCTATAGAGTAGAACCATGTACAATCGATAATAGAATCTGCGTGTTTCACAACTTACAATTAGCTCGACGTTTAGAACGTTTCTAGGAAATAACAATTCTACCCATGAAGAGAACGAAGAATATCCCTTGCATGTCTGCGACGTTCACTTTCCGCTCGTTCACCACCTGGTTGCTGCTGCCGATCTCCCAGCACTTGTCTTTGATCGGCATCCTCTCCGTGATCCATTTGTGCATCAGCCCGGACTCGAGCATGCGACGCAGCCTATTTTCCAAATCAAAAAACGAACTATTCGTCTCCGCGTGTTCCTCGAAATCGAAACTCATCCGCCACGTTTCTTTAGATACAACGCTTTGTTTCTTTCGATCTTGTAAGACGTGTATCGCTCTAGGATCCACGGTAGCAAAAATGATCGTGGCGTGCAACTTACTCGGCGTTGATTACAGACAGATAGGGGCTGCCTTGTGGGATGATCATCGCGATCGGCTCGTCCAGGAACTCGTCCTGGCCCAGGGAAAAATGGCAGCCTCCGGTCAGCAGTAAATCTTTCCTCATCAAGAACCTATGTTTTCAGCCTCCGATAGAGTTTCGTCGTTTTTCATGTGCGTGTGCATGTGTGTGTGCCGAAGAAAATCAAAGAACGTCGATGTACCTGAGAGAACTTCTCCAGTCGATCAGCGCATGTTTCCCGTCCTTCACCCGTTGGATCATCTCCTCGTCCTCCGTGTCGTTGTACCTCTCTGCGCGAGCCAGCAGAACGTGATACTTCTTCTCCTCCGCGTTCTCTAGATACACCTCGAGGAAGCTGCCGTTCAGAAATCCCCATGTCATCCTATCCTTGCGACTGATCAGGTCCTCCACCGTTAAGATCAACGCGTCCATCCTTGGGAATGTTAAGAAAGCGACCAAACTTCCGGAATATGTCGCCACTATGACCATCACTATCAGCCACCAGACACCGATCAGCAGCCGTGCGCTGTCCGATTGTGGCAAGTACATTCCTCCTGGAATGTTGGAGTACCATCGGTTCTTCTTGGTTCACGGTGGTTTTTCGTTTAATACGGTGGTTAAATGTTATTCTTATTTGTTAACATCGATCTTGTTCGTTTCTAGTAATATCATATAATATATGTAGTATTATTGATATATTATTGTAATATATATTATAATATATACATATATATAATATATTATATTATAATAATTATAATATAATATATATTATTTTTTAATATATTAAACTATATGTGTATAATATTATATTATTATACAGAATAGAAAGAACTGTTTTCCGTCCATTAAATAAATTGATATTCAATTATACAATATTATATATATTAATATTTTATATATATATATATAATATTGTATAATTTAATTTCAATTTATTTAATTGACGAAAAATAGTTCTTTCTATTCTAAGTATAATTACAAATATTATATACAACGAGATCCTTACAATGGCGGTAAGACGTTAATACAAAAAGATGACAAGGAAAAACAAAGAAGAGTTTGTAATGTAAGAGTTTATAAAGTAAAGAAAAAGGTAATGAAATTATAAAGAAATATTATCCCTATTGACGTCATACACTATTAACATTCGTAACACTATTATCGTTGTTATCCTCTACTGACTAATTAATCTCTTTCACTCCTAAAATTATTGTTAGTCAATATTACCCTTTTCACTGCCTCATTAAGCCCGTTCCTCCCTAATATCATCTATTAACATATGTACACTCTATTGGCTCGTTTGAACTCACTAAAACTGGTATCGTTGTTTCAAAAACGTAAACCCCAACCAACGCGGTTTTATTTAAAAAAAAAAAATTTTCGACGATGACATGATATGCCCCCCCAGTCAGGCCCCCCAACAACGAACGCTATCATCTCTCCCGTACGTCTTGGTCCAATTGCCCCATCGCCGATGCCCGAAAGCTTTTAAATTTCGCCATTAAACGGCATTCGTGTGTTCACGAGGCATTAAGTCACTACCGAGAACAAGAACGGAGATCCCGGTCGCGTGATCGTTCTCGCCACGAAGGGAAAGAGGGACCAGGGTGTCGTGTAAGGGCGAATGAAATCGTACCTTGTTGAAGCAACGCCCCGTACACGTACCACACACACTGGAAGGACGAGTTCAGGCCCGAGGTCTGCATGCTGTACGGACTGCACTTGTGAATCAGGTACAAGATCGGACCCATTATGATAATGGACACGGCCACGCAGGCCCACGTCTAAAAGCCAGGCCTGGGTTAGAGGTGTACCAGCTTGAGGAATGCCGAGCCAAACGACCGCGATCTTTACGGTTCTGTCATTAGACGCTATTACGGTCCGGTATGCCGGCCCGGGACCTTAAAGGACGAAATATTTCTGCGCTCTTAGCGTAACGACGCCGATTAGTCCCCCTTCTTCTCCGCGGCCAAACGAAGCCGAAAGATCGGTGGATCTCTTCGGGCTCGCGATTCCGTCTCTTAATATTCGCTGGGTCCGCCATTCTTCAACCTTTCGAGAATCTTTCGCAGCTAACGCGTAGGGCAGCGCCGGTGACCAATTGCCGTGCCTTTGGTTCGTTCGCAGCTACAATTAACACTATGCCGTGCGCAGATCTCAGATATGATTCTATTGTTTGACGCCGGCATAATAGCTTGGAAACTTTAGATTTAAAAAAAAATTTCGAAGATGGCGGTAATATAAATTCATAAAATTAAAATATGTCATCCAAGAATTTTCGTACTTAATTCTTAGTTAAATAAACACGATGCTATGTTAGTTTGCTGCCTTTTAATACTCAAGAAATATAGTTCAAATGTTATTTCAGTTTTTTAAAATGGCGCCAAAGTGGTATCACCGGCATACAACAGATAGTTTTTGCATGGCACCAGCGTGGTGCCACCGGACCGCATAGTATTAACTTCTCTTTATCGGATATGACATATACACATCCGATATAACATTCTTTTTGTTTCTGTTTATCTTCGAATGAAAACATTTAATACATCTCATTCGATAAATATAAAATGAATGAAATGCCCGAAAATAAGCCGAAGCCACGGCACTTGGTTGCTCTCGTTAAAAAACGACAGGGGTGTTACAAACCTCTCCGGTGAACGGCGATGCGAACAACAGCGCCCTGGACAGCTGTTTGGGCCTGGCAGTTAAAAAGCTATACGTCTGCACGTATATCGGCACCGTAAAATTGAACGCGTTCTTGCCATCCTCGTTCACGGTGTATGCACACGCCGCTAAGAGAACCTTCTTCTGTCGGACCAAATCGATCACCTCTTGCGGCATCTGTCTCGTGTTCGACATCGTCATTCCCTTGACTATCTGCGCAAGACGACGGAGAAACAATGTGAACGGAGGAGATAAGAGAGTGATAGAGAACGATGGATCCTTACGTCTCCGAGCTTGTCGAAGCGCGAAGCGATCCAGGGATTCGCGCTCTTGTTCAATTCCGGGGCGATCACCGTGTACGTGAAGTTCAGCTTCTTGCCCAGGTGTTTCACCACGTCGAAGACCAAACCCTCGTACGTTTTCTCGCCTGTGCCGCTCACCGAGATCACCTGCCACGGCGGATTCTGAAAGGATTCGTTCCGCCGGTATTTAGAGGCCTCGGCTACCAGTGTTCGATCGTTTCGAAGAAATCCTTTTACTAAGCAGGTGCAACGTAAATAACGTATTTCGGCGTGTCTACGTACAGGATAGGTCACGATGGGCAAGGTTATGCCACGGAATCCGTGAGCGATGTGGGGAAAAAGCATGTCGGTTAAGTTGACGCTGAATTCTGGCGTCCACGCTCCGATGTCGAGCAGGTGAGCTTGGTTCTTGCCGCGGACGAAGTAATTTCCCCAGGTAATCGCTGTGGTGAACTTCCAGAAGAGACCTTCGTCGTCGATCTCGTCCGCTGCGTAGATCTTTCGATAAAGAAAAAAGAAAGTAGTATCAGTCTGAATCGGTCTGAATCAGTCGGCTAGATACGCTTCTCGTTTAAGCGACTCTACTGACTCTGATGTTCTTCAGGACCTCGTGACGCCTCTCCTTCTTCGTCAGCCTGGTGATCTCGAAATCCTCGTCCCCGATCCTCTTCAGCAACTCGCTCTCGGTCCTCACAGATGTATCTAACGCTCTGGCCAGCGCTCTGACCAGCCACTTGATGTACTGCTTCAGATTCATCTAACGGAAACATCGAACCAAGGGAGATACTAAAGGGATCCTGATCGTTAATTATCTAGCGGCGTTCGATCGTTACTTCGTAAGCGCCGCCGTCGATGTTGGTCGCGTTGTACATGAACGCCACATTTCCTCCCTCTGCCAATAAATCGACGAACGCCGTCATGTTGGTCGTGTTGTGCGCCGCGCTGTCCGTGATAACGTACAGCCACTGGCTCCCAGGATGCACCATCTTCAAGGACCTAGCCTGTAAAACCAAAGAAAACGGTGTAATCGATCGCCACGATTACGCTTTTAAGTGGGCTCGAATCGTTAAAATGCAATTTGCGGCCGGATGTGTTCAGGTGCTGCGGAATAGGGACGAGATATTGCTGGACTTTTGCGAGCTGTTCGAGGCTATCCTTGGCCCAAATCCGACGAGGTCATTAACGCTTTCGTGATTAATCCTCTTGCCGAAACTAGCATAATTGCGGCCGATCGTTAGACCCCGTCGTGTTCCTCTATTCGACCCATTAACATCTCTATTTCGCCGATCTTGGAACGATTTCTTACCTGGTCGAATCCTCGTTTCGCTAACGTTGACGCCTATTTAACCTTCAGAGAAACGTAAGAAAATTGCCTAGTAGCTGGCTAGAAGGTAGTAGATCGCTTGTAATTGTTAATCAAAGCGGATTATTGATGATAACGGATAACGATTACATAAATAACCTCACCGCTTCCATGACATCCGGGACAATCTCGACGGTGGCTATCACCAAGAAGCAATGGCCCAGTTGATCCACGTGAAAATCGCTCAACGTGTTGCGCACCAGGGTTTTCCTCACCCTGTCGGTCTCGTTCTGCTTCAAGGTAAAGATCGACCTGGAGACCAGATTTACATGCTTGTGGAGCATCTTGTCCGAAATAGCTTTCAGCACTCTGCTGATCATGTCCCTGTCTGAAACACGGTCCGTGAGCGTACCGACTCGGTTAGACAAGGGTATATGTGGACAATATCGCGGCTATTAGCTCGTCGCGTCTTATCACCGAACGACTCGTCGTGGAGAATGTTGATCCTGTTCCAGGACATGATGTCCATCATCCTCAGGTCGAGGAAGATCTGGGACAGCTCCTCGCCGGACTTCACCATGGCGATGCTGATGCCGTCGGTTTCCATCAGTCTGGGGCAGTCCGCATCTTTCAGGGAATGACAGTTCGCGGTAGCGATAAACGTAGATAATGCAAGATCGTTCTAAACGATTCGATCGACGAGACGATTTAGGACAAGCGAACAAAATGCCGTGAATGACGTAACAGAGAAGAGGATCTAGGGCAATCGGCAAAATGTGTGACAAATAAATTCCCCCGAACGATTCGATCAGTTTCTCGCGGGTCGGTTAGAAAGTAAAAAGAATGACGCCGCAATGGGCCATGACCTCTCTTACCTGTAATCGCAAAGTGCATGAGATCCTCGTTGCGCGCAGCATCGTGCAGCCGCCAAGTGTGGTAGCAACTCGCGACAGACAGAAGTATCGTGTAACCTTGGTGCACGCGTCGAGCATTGGTAATCAGAAGGTCGGAGCGACGACGATTAATTAATTGATCGATCGGGCCACGCGAGCTTACCTTGCTGGAGATTGACGTTCGTGTCTTGTAAAAGATGAACCGTGATCCCACCCACGCGCATCTCCTTCTTCACGATGCGGTTGATCAGATCGGGGATCCACTCGACCGCGTTCCGATGTTCCCCTTTGCTGCCGAAGTAGCTCTTGTCGATCACCACCGCTGCCGAGGACAAGAATTTCTCTGTTTCACCTCTGTCTCAGCGTTCTTTTGCTATTTCTCCGGCTATTTCGGAGGATGACAACAACCGTACCCATGGAGGCGTTCGCAGTCACCAAAGAGGGAAAGTCGGTGTAGCTGTAGCCGTAGTCGACGCTCGAGAGCAGGAACAGGACCGATATCATTTTTCTCGGTGAAAATAACGGCGGGACGGATCGGCCCGCCGATATATAAGCCTGGGACACCGGTGAATAATGGATCACTTCATTAGTTTCGCCAATCCGTTATTAGAAACCCGGCCGGAACGCAATCACCGTGCCGAGAGCCGGTCAGGCCTAATGTAAACTGAATGCGCCGCGAATCGCAGGAAAGGTCATCTGTTTAATAACTTATTACGGGCCGATCGAATCCCCGCGGAATTGGAACAGGATATTGTTCGGTCTAGTTGCATGCGCCTCTTCGCTGATCTTGAATTTAACGAGCTCCTTCTAGGCTTCGTGTTGACGGAGCTGGAGGACTCTGACCGAGTTTAGGATACAACGTGCATTTTATACGGGTAGAAGCAAAATTTCATCGATACAAGTGCGTTTGTTCGTATATCGACGTGGGAAATGAAAGAATCCAGTGATGATAGATTAATTTACGCTGCTGATTTTTTTATGTAATAAACAAACAAAGGTTTTATTGTACATTAATATAGTTTGCTCTAACTTCGCACCAATTTTAAATACGTTTAAATATTATTTGTTATATTCGGAGCTTGTGGAAGATCGATAAAACTCTTGTATATTTATTACATTAAAATAAGCGTAAATTAACATATATCACTAGTTCCTTGCATTTCCTATATATAAATAAATTATCACGTTTCACAGAAGGCACTTGCATTTGGTTAATTTTGATCCTAGCTGTTATATCATTAGAGAAGAACTATGTTTGTAACAATATAATTCTATACTGTCTAGTTCAGTCTACATTTTAATGAAAATTTTCATATCAATGTATATTATATATTACACTTGAGAAATTGATCAGTTCTTCGCATAGAACTGTTACGAACACAGGAGGAATTTATTTACAGACCAAAAAAAGTGACGCATCATCGTCAGAGGTATATAACCAGAATGGAATCCAGCTGACAAAAGTCGAACACGGTATACTAACTAATAGGTCGAGAGAAAAATTATGATTTGATGCAGCGCGAAGTGGAGATCGTAACATGTGCGTATGCTAAGTATTTTGGTTCGATATTCTATACTGTCGCGTTTACAATAGATTGCTTTCGATCGGCGAGCGTGCAAGACATCAACAGTTAACGTCGCTGTCTATCAACGCTAGAGACAATTGTATTGTTTCATATCGGCCGGTGGAACGCAGCGGTATACCACTTCCGTGTAGCGAAAACAAAGATAACGCCGATGGCGTCGGTTACATTATTGCAACCTACGCGAGGTCGTCACCATTGGAAAAATCACACGTTACATGTGCGACTTTTTTCCCGTTGTTCGCACGACATGCGATACTTCTTTTTATTTGTGTTGACTATCCGTCCATAGTATTAATTTCTGCGATCTATGTACATATACAGATTTATTATGCGAAGGTGACGAAACAACTTTCGTTGTCCGAAGGTAATATTTTATTATTATATTATTATATTATTATATTATATTTTATTATATATTATTATTGTATTATATATTATATATTATATATTATATATTATATATTATATATTATATATTATATATTATATATTATATATTATATATTATATATTATATATTATATATTATATATTATATATTATATATTATATATTATATATTATATATTATATATTATATATTATATATTATATATTATATATTATATATTATATATTATATATTATATATTATATATTATATATTATATATTATATATTATATATTATATATTATATATTATATATTATATATTATATATTATATATTATATATTATATATTATATATTATATATTATATATTATATATTATATATTATATATTATATATTATATATTATATATTATATATTATATATTATATATTATATATTATATATTATATATTATATATTATATATTATATATTATATATTATATATTATATATTATATATTATATATTATATATTATATATTATATATTATATATTATATATTATATATTATATATTATATATTATATATTATATATTATATATTATATATTATATATTATATATTATATATTATATATTATATATTATATATTATATATTATATATTATATATTATATATTATATATTATATATTATATATTATATATTATATATTATATATTATATATTATATATTATATATTATATATTATATATTATATATTATATATTATATATTATATATTATATATTATATATTATATATTATATATTATATATTATATATTATATATTATTATATTATTATATTATATTTTATTATTATAAGTATACAATATACTATAACTGGAACTACTCAGTCGTCATATTTTCTGGATGAAATAACACAATTTTAGTCGTCTGAAAATAATATTTTATTAAACATACGATCTATCTATCTAACATTTCCACGAGTCTGTGTATACAATCAGTCGTTATCATTTTCATTGCTATTTTACCGTGTTCTATACCAGTTGGCTTAATAATCTCTATTAAATGTACAGCGTAAACTGTTTCCTAAACTGATTCTATACCTATTGTGTCGTTATCTTTTCAATTAGTATTTCATTGTACTTCTTATCTGCAAGCTTTTGTGTCGCTTGCAATGTCAATAACCGCCAGCAATTTCAGAAACTGACTAGAATTGAATAGACCGTCAAAAGGGGTTTGAGTTTCGTACCCTCGAAACTGCTCTTAAATTCCAGGCGATTCCGCCACTTCCGGTTCACCGGAACCGGAAGGACCGTCAGCCTTCCGACGGTTGGCGCCGAAAACGTTATTACGGTGTTTGAATGGCATGCGCTGCGATGGAAACGTGCTAATCGCGAGTGTGATTCCACGGTGCTCGGTATAAGAATAACGATGAACGATAACGAAACCCGAGGCAAACAATGTTCGCTGGTAACGCGTCGAAACATAACAGGAGAGGCGAGTTATCTGCTGGAATAGCGCCGTTCGTGACGATTCGGGTGACATCGTGCGGCACGGCGGCTACGTGCTAGCCTCTATTAGAGCTCCAACCAGTTGGCTCCGAATGTGTACGGAAACCATGCAGCGACTGTACCGCTCGTGCATGTATAGATCGCGCGGCTGCACACGTACTGCACACATCGCCGGACGATTTTTCCACCGGAAATCTGGGCGAAGTTAACGCGACACAGCCACCCAAACATTCCGTGCAATGTCAAGCACCGTACAATATGATGGGCTGAACGTCTCCGGGAAAACTGACAGAAGGAACGCGTACAAGCTAGCTGTACGGGAAACGAGCATAGGCGAACCAGTGAGAGGAATAGCACCGCCGTCGGGGAAAAGTGGGAGTGAAAGTGGAAAAATACCGTTTTTCGAAATTGCACGAGGGACAGGGCCGCGCACCTAGTGCAACAACCCACGAGGCTATCTGCTGATGGTCCGCGGTAAACGATGGAGCCCGAGGAACCTCTGCTGCAAGGGATTCTGCTGTTACCGCCGCAAGGAATGCTAGGCCAACTCAAGGTTGGTTTCACATCAGCGTAGATTTACAGCTCGCGTCTCGTAGACCAGTAGATATAGTTGCCGCGACTTCGTTTCTTGGCATTGTCTTCGTCGCCGAATGCAAATGATCCATCTCTCGTTATCAGTCATCGTCACCGAGGAATAACCTACAAAGTTGCGCGAGATCGAGTTACAAGACGGTTCTAGTCGTGTTTGAGATCGCGCTGGATGCAACGTGATACACGTCACGCTTGATTCACAGCAATATTTTCTTCGAAATTTTCTGTAATATGCCACAGCGTTTCTCAATCGTTTCCCGTTGCGAATCAACACATTCTCGCAGCATAATTTTAATTTGAAATCGGATTACGCATACTTGACGGGAATGTTTAAATTAATGTTCACAAAAGCTAGTACTCGATTTTTTTGTTTTAACTTGGGAAATATGTAAACAATTTTATAGAAAACGGATTGTTGAAAAGATCTCTGAAATATTTTAACCATGCCCCATAGGTTGAGAAGCACTGATATATTGAATGCTCTTGAAATGTCAGAATTAGATGCAGCTTCTACATGTTATGACATGTTATTCTGTTGCAGAAAACATGGCACAAAAGGTTTTGTCAACTGTTCAGAACCAGCAACTATGGGATCAAGCGTGTGGAGATCTACGATAACCAAGAGGAAGCTATTCTACAGTTACATACACCACGCATCATTACTTTAGATGCATGCATCAAAATTGCACCTAGCAATCAATCGCACGTGTTTACTGTAAGTATCTTTGATGCGTTTGTAATGTATTATAACTGCAGTGTGTTATTATTTCTCTTTTATTGTTTCATACAAACAGGTAGTAACCAAATCAGGGATCCATTATTTCGGATGTTACTCAGAATCGGACATGAGTCATTGGATTACTGCATTTCAGTTGGTAGCATTTAAAGATAGTGTGTCTAACCAGACCATAGAAGAGAACAACGATCTATATTGTACCAGTGGAGAAGGAGTATTTTCGGTGAAAGTTGTAGAAACAGATGCATCCAAACGATGTGGCCTAGAATGTAGGAATTATACTCTAGTAGTGGCTGCAGCTAATATTAAATTAATGGATGGCGATGTAGTTCTATTCACTTGGCCATACAGATATATTAGAAGATACGGCTACAAAGATGGCAAGTTCATCTTTGAAGCAGGTAGAAAATGCGAATCTGGAGAAGGTTCCTTTCGCATGGAGCACAGTAGCCAACAAGAAATCTTCAGATGTATGTACGCAAAGATGAAATCTATGAAGAAATTAATGAACGAAGAAGGTAATCCAGCCATTGAGTGCAACGATGCTCAGTATCATGCTGCCTTGTCTATGGAAGCAGGCTCCAGAGCAGCATTACCTCCCTCCCCAAATAGTTCTGGTAATTTAATTGACATTGACTTTTCAACTCCGCAAAATTCCCAAAAGCAATCAATCTCGTCTTCAAACACGGACGCTAATTTATCTAGTAAACCTTCCTCTTCTCTTCTCAAGTCTAAACCCGCTAAACCACCACGGAAATATGCGTTCCAAGGTTTGCCGGATAAGAAGAACGCAGACTCTGAGTTACCAGACTCATCTGCGTGTGAAGAATACAAGATGTTGAATCGAGATAATTCGCCGGAGTTGTCCCAGAAAACGATAGGGAGTTCGATATTTGACGACGAAGAGAGACACTCGTACGATTTAGTGGAAGTAAGAAACGATGCGTGGAAAACTCATGGTATCGATACTATACATCACACAGAGCGAACGAATTCGTTGTTACACGATGACAAAGGTAAAGAAAACGAGGATGACTTTCAATATGAAACTGTGATGCCCCTTATATCATCCCAAATCTCATCGAAAAGTAAGTCTAGTATTTCTGATAATCCGATAACCACGTCGACAACTAACGTGTCGAGTAAACCCGTTGATGAATCTGATTACGATAAGCTAGAGCACTTCGGATCCGCGAGCAAAATCAATCAAAAGAGTACATATAAATTTGGGAATTTTAACAATGTATCTCAGAATTCACATTCCAATGTTTCGTTAAACAGTTCCGCAGTCGATACTACCACTGCTTGGTCTCATTATGATATTGTGGAAGATATGTCCGCTGTTAGATTAGCAGATGATAGTCACCTCGGATACGGTGTTATTAGAAAAAAGACGAACCAGTCCGAGGCTGGTTCTACCAGCAGTACTGCGGGTCCACAACATAAAGTCTTTAATAATAGTGAATATGCAATTGTATCAAAACCAAAAAGGGTATAAAAGATCCAAAAAAAAATTCCGTTTCGTAAATATATTAATTATTCTTAGTTCAGAGATTTCGAAGATATTCTGATTCTCAAAAACGATAAAAGTAATACTAGTCTACATTATGACTAGAATAATATCATTCCTACCATTGTCTGTATAATGAAACAGTTGCGTTGATATTTTATAATTTTGTTATATATTCTTACATATTCGCGGAAGTGAAACGATATTCGTCTTCTGCAAAGATTAGTTTAAGAGATACTAGTCTATTTAATCATTGTCAATTGTCTAGGAATAGTTAATTATATTAGAAACGAAATGAAATCATCTTTTTTCAAAAAATCGATCGCTAATTTTTTTAAATGTACAACCGACTGATTGCAACGAAATGATACAGGTGCCTTACATCGTAAAATTAGATAAGAAAGTCGAGATAAGTTTTATTAAAATCTGTGCAGAGATTGAGTTAAATTTGCATGTTATTTGAATATCTGGTGTACTTAGAGATATTTAATTACTGTTATTATCATACTACCATTAGTTCTATATTACAGTGATGTAGCAACTTCGATTACAGTTTTGCTTCCATTGAGATCTTTGAAGTTAATGATATTATAAAGTCTTCAAAATACAGAGTTTATATATATTTACATAGATATCTATATACGTGATAAGCGGAAAACAATAAGTCATTCCCCAAGTTTCTCATATATATATTTTATAGACTTATGTATATACTACATAAACATACACTTATAAAGGATTTAACTATGTATCATATTATTAAGTGTGAAACATAGTTTTATAAGAATTGTATTGAATACATGCATACTTGATAGCTATTTATATAAATATTGATATTTTCTTAATTAGAGTTTGCCATAATCCAGTAACTCTTCTATACCATGTGCCAAGGTCTGCCATTCAAATTTATTGATATTAAATTGTATAAGATTACGAAGCCATCTGCACAAGGAAATTAAATGTTAAAAATCTCATCAAATTTTTATGTGAAAAATATTTTCCACCAAACTTTACATATAAGTGGAAATATTTACATTACGTGCAATCTTTAAAAAACGTTTAAAGTATGCATAACACGAAAAGAACATTGTTAGTTCTAGTATTTTTAATCTGAAGGATCAAAAACAAAACTTGAAGTCTTTCGATACTGACCAAACTATCGATATTATTTTTTACATTTATAATAAGATACACGTAATATTAGAACTATAAGTGGTATACAATAAATTTCGAAATATTTACATCAGCTTAAATATTTAATTCTCTATTTGTCCTTTGGACCTATTTCTATTATCTGTTCCACTTCGTCCAATTCGTCCTGTGAATCTATTTGTATTGTCTTTTCCAGCTCGTCCAATTTATCCCCTAATCCTAAATACTTTTTTTTATTTTGTGCCATCATTTCAAGCTCCGATTTTGGGGTAATTTCCACATAACCTTCTACGTCGTTCATAACTCTTGTAACGACCTTATCTTTCTTTAACAGAAATTTTTCTATATTTCTAACATCTTTTAGTTCCTCAAACCATCCAATATTGTCAGCGATCAAATGATTATTTTTGCAGTTGTCGCATCGAACTATAACTACCCCTTGCTCGTATGCAGTTTTTGAAATCAGTTTGCTGCTTCTGTGGTTACACTTTTTACATGTAAACTCAAGTCTCATCTTTTTGCTAATCTGACCGAGGAGATACTTCTTAAGTCTCTCATCTGTTTTACAAAAATTTATCTGCGTTCGGGAGACGAATTTTCTATCAAAATTAATATCACAACGATTTCTAGGAATTAATAATGTCCGATGTAAGCTTGTAAACTCTTGTGTAATAGCTAATCTATTTACACCTCGAATAACGTGCCGAAATGTAAACATTTTGGCATTTCTTCGTGCACACGATATCACTAGCCACTTTCACACTCCAAAGATTGTAACTTTTCAATAATTCAAAATGATTTTGTAGTATTTCTATCGACTAAATTTGGTCGATTACAACATGCGGCACGTACCTACTAAACGTATTTTTCTGTAACTGTCACGTGATCTAAAAGGGAGTTCACATGCATATTCGGCGGCCATTTTGTTCATTCCTCACATGTGTATGCTACATGTTGGGTGTTATATAAATGTATAAATATAAGAACAAGGCAAACATTTTGAAAATTGAAACCGACTTTTATTCCTATGAAAAATCGTATTATACATTGTTTCCGTTACACTAAAAAGTCGCTTGTTTCGAATGAGTACATACTTGATTGAGGAACATCGGTGGACACGGCCAGAGATTAAATTGTTCTTAAAAACAGACCATTATTCTATGCTTACCATGTTCGATTTTTCTTTTCTTGAATAAATTAAAATGAGTTTCACACAATGACAAAGAAGAATTAAAAATGTCTAATACCCTAGGAATAAGTCGAATCTATTTTATACTAATTTCTTTGCTTCAAAGAAGTTTTTCAAATGTTTCATTTGCCATAAACCCATGACCAAGAGAACCACAGACTGTGTAAGGGACCACCAGAACACGCGTCTATGCGTGCTTTCAGATGTTTGCCGGAAACGTTCTTCTCGGTACTGAAAGAGAAAGAATACAGATGTAATTCAAATGCAAATGATAATTAAGACACACCATAGAACAACCAGTTACCCTTTGATAATTTTGTTCCTTGGTGATCTGTTCCACTTGGTCAAGAAGCTGGCGTATTCTCAGTTCTAATTCAGTGAACTTTTCCTTTTGTGCGATGTTGGCATACTCGATAGCATGTTCACCCACTTGAATGTCCAAATGAACTCGCTGGAAATTAAAAGTAACAACTTATGTTAGATAAATAAAATAGTTCAAGCTCAAATCAACAAAGAAAGAAAGTAAAGATTAATTATTAGAAATCAAAGTCCTTTGGCACTAAGTAAGGAGTAGCCAGGACTACAGAATGTTCACATAAATGCAATTTACACACCAACTGAGTACCACTAAACCAAGCACTGGTGTTGGAATACAAGCAAATAACATGTTCCCCGGGGGTGTGAGAGGTGAATGAAATTCGTCCCTCTGAACTGTACACTCTCGAAAGAATTGTTTTGTCATCCGGATCGCTAACTTCTACGTGCATTCCCATTCCGGGACTGCTGCGGATGAACTCGTCAGCTCGGGGGTCGAATATTTCGACCTTGTAATTTACTGCGAAGAAAAACAGAAGCATGAAACTCAGTATTGTCATTGATGAAATTGAAACAAACAGATGTTACTTTTATTAATTTGCATGTTTCATACACACCGAGGACTGTCGTATCATCTGGAATCTCTTCGATGAAACATTTTCTCTCCGTTTCGCCGATGTGAAAGTATAAACCTGTTCCATACTCGAGAATGCATAAAAAGACGAGGATTACTCCGCCGTGTTTTAACATGATTATGAATCTGCGTGCTTCTGATAGCACGACGAAAATATTGAATTGCGATCAAAATTATGTGAGAGCAGAAATACACAGGCAGAACACGTCACCTGAGAAAGCAATCGTTGAAGTTTGTACGAGTGGCGCCACTGGCCACATGGCTCTGCGTTCTCGATATACGTGTACATAATGTGTAGTTTTTGAAAAATAAAAGAAAATGGACGTCACCTTATTAACTTCCTTGGCTATTGTAATTCTGGTTTTGATTGTGATTTGCATGGTATTCTTGAAGAGAAAACGCGGTACGTTCCTCGCAATACAATCATATATTTCTACACGTATTACACTAAAATAGTCCTTACAAGAAAACTGGTGGGATTTCTAACCTCTTGGTTTATTTTGAAACAAATATTATGACAGTTTTTCGTAAACTTATTGCTTTAATCATATAGGTTCCATTTTAATATGTAAAAAAATCTGTTACTTGGAAATTTAAGATTTCTCTTATAAGCCGAATTTTCGTTTGTCATAATAAAGTTTTAGGTTATAAATATTAACTTGAAATATTTGTTGCTTTGGACACACTATAGCTACGGAGAAGAAGCCAGTTAGTGCACAAGCTGCTCCAGAGAAGAGAATAAGAAGGGCAGCGGGCCAAAGAACTACCAGACGTCGTTTGCAAGCAACTACAGTTTCACAGAGTCAAGAAGATGAGAATGCAGAATCGGGGAACGAAGCCAATGATGAAGCAGATGAGAAACCAGATCCATCTGATCAGAAAATAGGAGCCAAGAAGAGGGCAAAGTTAGCCGCTAAAGCAGAGAAGAAGATGCAAAGAGAAATAGCAATAAGGGACAGAGAAGAGCGCAAGAAGAGGGATCAGCTGATTCAAGAGCAGAAAGACAAGCAATATGAAAAGGAACGCGAAGAGGAACAGAAACAGGAAGATGCTGAAAAGAAAGCCAGAGAAGAAAAAGAGAAGAGGGAGTACGAAGAGTACTTAAAAATGAAAGAAGCATTTAGTGTAGAGGATGAAGGCTATGATGAGGATAGGAAAGAGGATGAAGAAGATCTATTAGAAGCATTTGTACAGTACATTAAAGATAGTAAAGTAGTAGTCCTGGAAGATCTAGCTGCAGTCTTCAATCTCAAGGCTGAAAACGTCGTTCAGAGAATCACAGAGTTACAAGCGAATGGAAGTCTAACAGGTGTAATAGACGACAGAGGGAAATTCATTTACATTTCTCAGGAGGAGTTCGAAGCTGTTGCAAAATTCGTGAAACAACGGGGTAGAATCAGCATTGCTGAACTGGCAGAGAATTCCAATCATTTAATAAATCTTGCACCGAAAAATAAGATCAACATGGTGGAGGCAACATAGATTCTTGTATATGTAAAATAAGTATATCGCAATAAATTTATATATTACTGTAAATGTGATACAAGTATCCGTCGAGGAGAAATTATATAGATGTTATTTTATATAGAATTATAAATATTTTATTTAAATGTACATCAGAATCTATTTAAATACAGTACCTGTTTACCTTGCGCATTACTGCGTTTATTCTATATATGAAAACCGAAAAATAATCAATAATCAATAGGCTCTCTTGACATCGAAATTAACATTTTACATGATGAATAATTTTGCCGCGAATATGGTAACATTACGGTTTAATGGAATCTTCCATCAGGAATGGGTGAAACGGGTTACACAGAGATCGCTGTAATAATTCATTGAGAATTATAATAATCATAAAATATTCGTATAATAAACAGTGGAAATTTTATTAAGCAAAAAACTCTCGATCACGGATAGCCCTTTTTATCATAAAACAGCTTGTTTGCTTGAAAGTAACACCTGATGACACCTGAGAGCGATGTTGCGTCAGATTCTAGTTTGTCGTTGGTAGCAAGCTGGACAGTTTTATTTTTTATTTGTCGCGAGATGCATAATTTACTCTATTGGGCACGGCTCGGGCGTTTACGTGGTTACGCGATCAGAGGAAAAAAGAGCAACAGATAAAGTTAATTATTCCTCCATGATCGAGATCTTTGAGAGATCACAGTGTAAAAAGATCGATGTGCCGTTGATTTACGCGACGAGGCCCTTTACGACCATTAGGTATCCCATTCCTCACCCTAAAGTTAGTTCAGCAGCTTCGAGGATTCCCGAAATTTTCCACTCGGTGCTGAGAACAAACGCTCAGTTTGTTTTAGACCGAATGAGATAATAGTCCTGGTCCTCGAGCCGCGTCGCAGCGAAAGAATTATAGTCTTCGCGCTATATACCCGATGCTTATTCTTCCTGATCAGCTGAGCCGATCGACTATCGTCCAATTCTAGATCGGAGGTTGCGGAAAATTTCTGAGATCTATCTTCGTGATGGATCACCATCATTAATTCATCGTCTGAGAAATCGATTTTCACGTCCTGACAAACGAGGTTGTTCGAGTGTCTTCGATTCATTAGTCAGCTAATTATTCACGACATGTTGTTCCGTTAGCAAATATGGAAATAGGATGTAAGGTCTTCGTCGTTTCGTCCATGATTTTCGCGATGACCGGAAACAGAGATCTCCTTGAGGAAAACTCAGATCGACACCCCACTTATTATGCGATCGAGTCACGTTTTTGAATCACTGTACCGATCAAAAATTCCGCCGACCGATCGAGGAGATCGTGATCGGTCCCCACTCGATTTCGCGCGAAGAAGGGGACAGCCGGAGCCTATGTAAGAGCCACGGGATCGCCGGGGATCCTGCAGTCTTCCTGAAGAGTTCGTGTGTTCCAGAGAAGAGTTCCAAAGTTTTACGATCATCCGTTTTAATCCTCGGTCAAGGGATTCGCATAGATCGATCCTCGAGTTGATCCTGCTAGAGTCTTCCGTCTAGTGTTTCGTGTTTGTCGTGAAGATCTATGTGTCCATGAGGTGCAAAGTCTTAGATTGCCAAGGCAACACCCCGACCTTCTTGCCCAGTGTCAGGTAAATATCGAAAACAGGTTCCCGATTTGCTGGCTGGCCCTTCCTAAGCACAGAGTTAATTAATTATCCACCCGGAATAGTCATCTGAAATAGTCGATTGATCGGACCACGGTCTTTTTAGCATATCAAGCTTCGATGACGTGGAGCAACCGCGCAATGCACTT